ACAGGTTTGCCTCCGTCACCTTAATAGCTTTGACTGATTTCTTTTCTAATTTTTAATTGTTGTAAACTATTACCGCCTTTCTATATCTTTGTGGATGGCAATCATTTGGTTATTTTGTAGCTGGACTTAAGAGGTCATTTTGTTTTGCAATTTTATATAATCCTCAGGTGGATGAAGAGCCTGCAATCAGAACCAATACCACTATATTACTCGGGAATATTGCCACTTACCTAAATGAAGGGGTAAGTCTCCACTACCTTCGTTGTTCTTTTGATTCTTTTGTTTTTCTTTGTGCCTAATCATGAAAAAATGATGCAGACAAGGAAAAGAGTTTTGATTAATGCTTTTACAGTGCGTGCACTGCGTGATACATTTCCACCTGCTCGAGGTGCAGGTATGTGAATGCCTGCCCTTAGTAGATCCTAGTAATTACGCAATTTGTAGGGTGTTTTAGCTCTCTGACAATCATTTCCCTTTCATTCAGTCTCTGGTATTTTCCTGCTGTCGTCTTGTTTGTAAGTTTCATCATCTCACTAGAATTTACTTAACGCAGGAATTGTTGCATTATGTGCCACCAGTTCTACTTATGACGACACTGAAATAGCAACTAGGATTCTTCCAAATATTGTTGTGCTAACCATTGATCAAGACAGGTTCGTTATTTAAATGAGATTGTCTATCCTCTTTTTGTTTAATAATTTTGCTCAGGCATAATGTAAAGCATGTTCTCTCAATTTCCTTAATAGTGAGGTTCGATCGAAGGCATTTCAGGCTGTAGAACAGTTTCTTCAGATACTGAAACAGAACTATGAGAAGGTATGCATAATGGCTCTACCGAACTCTTTTCTTGAGCTATTTTTATATCTAAAGTCTTATTGACATTTGGGGGTGGAAAATAATTGGATTTTTTGGGGGTGTGAATAGACAAACGCTGGCGAGACAGGAGCCACCGGAGGAGCCTCAACTATGCCTGAAACTGCTGGTCTTATCGGGTGAGTATAGTCAAATCAGCTTAAAAGATGAATTATATAAGAACATGGTCGGAGTGCTCTGTGTACTAACTGGACTAATTTATTTATTCTTATAGATGGGCTATGAGTTCTTTGACTCTCAAGGGTAAGCCATTAGAGCAAGCGCCTCTTGCTTCTTCTTCTTCAGCACCATCCCTAGCTGCTGCAGCCTCAAATGCTGCAAGCACAGGTACACTTGAAATCTCTTACCATTATTATTTCTCAAACCCTGGAAATAATTTGCCTTGAAATTTGCAACTGCGGATATGTAAATAATAAATAGCAAAAACGAGATTGCCTTGATTATATGTTGGATTGATCTGATATAGTCGATCACTGTGCTATTGGCTAGCCAGCCCAGTTGCCAGTACTATTTCATTTCCTAATTTGTTTATTTCTTGAAAAATTATCCTCAGCAACGGAGGCGCCGAGTGTCAAAGCCAGTCATCATACACGTTCCAACTCGGACTTCACAGAACCACCCGCACCACCATCCCCAACATCAACAGATGGTTGGGGAGATATTGATAATGGCATTAGCGAAGGTCATGATAGCGACAAAGATGGTTGGGGGGATCTTGAACCTCTTGATGAACCAAAACCTTCTCCAGCTCTCTCAAACATTCAAGCAGCTCAAAAACGACCTGTGTCTCAGCCCTCTAGACCTGCAGGTACCAGCCTTTAGCTCAAATTAGTTCGCCTCAACACATTCTGTTAAGCATCCTAAAATTCACAAGCTTGTGTGTTAAATTCCTCGCTCTTTATAGCTACAAGCTCAAGAGCAAAGCTTAGCACGGCGAAAGCAGCTGCAAAAGCCGAAGATGACGATTTGTGGGGATCGATAGCTGCGCCTCCGCCTGCAACTACTTCAAGACCTTTGAACTTGAAAAAGACAGTACAAGCTGATGATGAAGACCCTTGGGCTGCCATTGCTGCTCCACCACCAACCACCAGAGCAAAACCTTTGTCTTCTGGTCGTGGCCGAGCTGCCAAACCTGCAGCTCCTAAACTTGGTGCCCAACGCATTAACCGAACCTCATCTGGAATGTGATGAAAACACTAGAGGAAGAAGATAAACAGCATACATTGTACATTTTTTTGAAAGCATCTCCAGGTGACTCAACACATTGAACCAAGCAACCAACGAATTATTTGATTTGTAATATCATTCATTTTTAAAACCCCAAGAGTGTCTACACTGATAAAAAGAGTGTTTCTTATGTGTTTCGAGAAGTAGAAATGATGTAAAGACACCATCAATTCGGAAATGTTATCTTGTTTCAATTGGACTTAACTTGATCTATCATGTTACTCTTTAAGCTATTCAATACATTGAAGATCTCTGCCGCCATTAGAGACGACGAGCCTCCTGAAAAGAAGACATGAGTCATACTGCTAATTTCAATTCTACTCCAACCTGGTTTTTTCTGCAAGCCTCTCTCCTTCATCTCACTCAACAACTTTGCTGCTTCGTTCTTCAATCCTGCTTCCATGTAAAGATTAATTAGCTGAACATAGTTACTACCTCTTTCCGGTTCCATCCTCAACAAGTTCTCAGCAGATAATATCCCAAGCTCGACATTATAATAAGTTCTTGAAGCAGATAAGAGGCAGAGCCATATGCTACAATCTGGTTCAATAGGCATTGCTTTTACGAAACTGTAAGCTTCTTCTAGGTGACCGGCACGTCCTAAAAGATCCACCATATTTGCATAATGCTCCATTTTTGGTTCGATTCCATATTCTTGTTTCATGATCTCAAAAATGTTTCTGCCCTCCTGCACAAAACCAGAATGATTGCAGGCTGAAATCAGAGATAGGAATGTCACATCATCAGGCGATTCTCCTGCTTTCTTCATCTCATCGAACAGACTCAATGCTCTAAGACAATCTCCATGGGATCCATACCCATATATCATTAGGTTCCAAGTGATCAAGCTTTTATGCTCCATTTTCCTGAAGATATTCTCGGCATACTTCGAAAACCCGCACTTTACATACATATCAATCAAAGCGTTTTTCAGGTGAGTATCAGAAGGAATGTTGAGTCTTAATGTATAACCATGCACACTTTTCCCTTTAAGCAAGCTTGCAGTTGATGAGATTGCTACAAGGACACTTGTGATGGATACTGAATCTGGAAAGACACCGTGATTGAGCATCAGATCGAAAAGCTCCATCGATTGCTCTGGAAGGTTGTTACGGCTGTAGCAAGATATCATTGAATTCCAGGCAACAATGTTGTCCGGTCTCATGCTAGTGAAAACTTTAAGAGCCATTTCTGGTAAGCCACACTTAGAATACAGATCAATAAGGGAGCTGCCAACAAAAACATTCAGCACTAGTCCAGTTTTAGTCATTCCTCCATGAACCTGAAGGCCAAAATCGAGAGCCTCTAATCCAGCGCATGCATTTATAACACTGGTCATAATATCAGAATCAGGTTTTAAGCTATCATCATCATTTTTCATGGACTCGAAAACTTTCAGAGCCTCTTTGAATTTCCCATTCTTGCAAAGTCCTGAGATCAGGGAGCCCCACGCAATCATATCTTTTTGTTCCATAGATTTGAAGACTAAATAAGCATCAGTATCACATCCAAATTTAGAGTACAGAGTGAGTAAAGCACTTTCTATTGCAGACGTACTTTGTATTGGTCTCTTAAACAGTTCCGCGTGGACTGATTTGCCATAGTCATACAATCCCAACATGCTGCAACAGGCTATAACATTTGACAAGGTAAAAGAATCAGACAAGACACAATTCTCTCTCATCAAACTGAACAAATCCAAAGCATAGTGTCCATAACCATTGTCTGCATAAGCTGCAACCATCGCGTTCCATATTTCAAGTCTTTTATCGATAACGCAACTGAATACAGTTTCAGCTTCACCAACCATACCGCACTTTGAATACATTGACAATAGAGAAGTACAAACATAGGGGTCACTGTCAAGTCCCATCTTCACCACGTCGCAATGTATCTGTCTCCCGAAACCAAAATTCTCACTTCGACCACATGCACCAAGAGTTCCGGTGAAAGAAGTGGATACAAGCTTGACACTATAATTCTTTGCAAGCATATACAACTCCAAGCTAGATTCAGAGATCCCACTATCAACAAATCCGATAATCATCACATTCCATAGTACAACGTTCGATTTATCCTCAATCTCCACAAAGACACGCCACGCATCTGTCGCTAAACCGAACTTGAAATACATATCGATTAAAGCAGTTCTCAAGAAAGAATCACCACCTAACGAATTCCTCAACATATACCCGTGAATCTGCCTTCCCTCTTCCCGCCTCAATTTTCCTTCTTTACACAAAACACTCACAACGATGGATAACGAGAAAGCATCAGGCCTTACGCCCAACACCAGCATTCGGCGAAACCGATCAATCCCTTCCTTAAATTTGCGAAATTTGAAGTACCCATCGATCAAAGAGTTCCAAACTGTGACATCCCGAGCAGGAACACCACTCTGAGACCAACCGTCGAACACTTGGACGGCTTCATCTAAAGATCCACATTTTACATACATATTGACAAGCGAGGTTGTAATGAAAGGATCGTATTGCCGACCCAACACGATGACCGAAGCATGAATGGTTTTGCCGTAGCAGAGGTTTGTAAGATACGAGCAAGCTTTGAGAAGAGAAGGAAATGTGAAAGCGGAAGTGCACAAGGGAGAAGAGCCATCATGCTTAGTGTATAAATGCAGAGCTTTTAGATACTCTCCTTTCTGAATTAACGCTCTGATTCCAGAACTAACTGAAGTCGGAGAAGTGTAAGAGTCAGCTAAACAAGAAATTCCCCGACGAATGTGAACGTCGTGAAGCTTGAAGTGCATATCAGCATCGTCGTCGTTATCTTCCGGTACCTCACCTCAAAAATTGATTTTGACTTAACACGGTCAAATGATTTAAGGACTTAGCTGGATTTTGCTGGATTTTACTGGTAAGTAATTTGTTATAAATCCTAAGTTTAAATACACATAAAGATTTGAGCTTTTCTGCTTTTACAAGTAAAATTCATAACAGATTATGATGAAGTTCCAAACTTTTTAGATATTTCAAAATTTTCGATGAACAAAACTGCTCATTCATTACAAAACTTATGCCATTGTTTATGGTGGGAATTGATCAAGTATTTGTTGCACTTCTACTGCCACTCATCTTCTTTCTCTTGTTCTTTTGTTGCCCTTTTTGGCGTTCGTCTCTCTTCCTCTTCATTGTTTCCTTATGGTGTGCTTTTCCAACCAGCGAAGGTTGCTCTTTAAGAGCAAAACTCTTGGCGACATGACCCAAGTGAAGTTTCTTCACGACAAAGATGCTCTTGAGCTCTCCCTTGTGAGCTGCATATCCCCTAACCCATGAGACAAACGCATTCTTTGCCAGGTTCTTCATCTTTGGCTGCAAATAACCACCAGGGATATAAATTTGTTTCCATCAAGAACACCAAGCTGGAGAAGACAATAGAGGAGAGAGAATCATACCTCGGCATAAGTAAAGAATTCAAGAGCTCTCTGCAGAGATATGACCCAAGGATGCGATTCTAGGGATATGACCTTTTTGATGCGAGGCATATTGCCGAGTAGCGGAAATTTATCAAGTACTTTTAGAAGAGGGTACTCTGCAAGTGTGGCGCCATGTTTCTTAAGGTCCTTAAGATAGTCTATTTCAATCGGCTGTAGAAATAACAAGGCTTCTCCTTTTTCACCAATACGAGCTGTTCTACCTACTCTGCAACAATGAATCCCAAACACATAAGCTCATTAAATTCAAGGTACTACATATTTAAGGTAGAAACGTCAAGTGGTTTTTGGCATTCAGAAATTTACCTATGCACATACTCAGTAGCTTCCCCGGGACAGTCATATTGTATGATACATCTTACTTTTGGGAAATCCAAGCCTCTAGCAGCAACATCTGTACTCAAGAGAAGAGCCTGTTTCTCTGCTTTAAAAGTCCCAAATGCAGATCTTCTATCCTCCTGCTCCATACTTCCATGTAACCGAAAAGTTTTGCACTTTAGAAACAGCTGTTTCGTCGTCTCCTCTTCTTGTGTCTCAGAATTTGGTGGCCACTGGAATTCACTCAGAAGTGAGTAATGAAAATCCACAGCATCACGTGTCGAAAAGAATACGACCACCTGTGAGAAAAGAGCGACACAAAGCCTCAATCAACTGAGAATTGGAAAACAAACAGACTGTTATATTACAGGAACTTAGGATATGTTCGGCTTAAGATTTACCTTTTGAGAAGCTTCTCTCTCAAAAAGGTTCTTGAGAACAGAAAGAAGTGCCACAAGCCGTGCACCACATGGCACTGCATATAATCGATACTCGTTACACAGAGTAAAACATCGAACAATTCAAAAAGACTTGAGTGATGAAGATAAAGTGTACCTTTGACATATTTCTGCACGAGCTGCGATGGTATTCCGTAGTCCTCTGATGAAGGGTTTGCGGCTTTGTTTACATGAATTACCAAATCATCCGCATCGGAATCAGGAGAGCCGGGAGACTCTAGTGGTACGTTTTGTTGCATTTTGCTGTTGTCAAGACCAATCAATACCGGATCGTCCAAACTAAGTTTTGCAAGGTGGTTGACTTTTTCATTCAATGTCGCTGACAATAACAAGTTCTGCTTCTGAACACCCTTAGGAACAATATCATCATTTTCCCCTAGCTCGTTTTGTCCAGAGCCTAGAAGCTTAATTATCTTCTCTATCTCCTTTCCATAACCTAATTCAAGGATGCTGCCAAAATTCAAAGGAAGAAGAGCTAAATAAAGGAAGCACAGAATCAAGGAAGTGATTAGCTTTCAGATACAGAAGTCATACCAATCAGCTTCATCGAAGATGACCCAACGCAGATTTTTGTGCACAAATGAAGCTGTGTTCTGCAAATGGTCAAGAAGGCGTCCTGGGGTTGCAATTAGAATGGATATCCCTGAAAGAACCAACCAAATATTCAAAATGATTATCTCTCCTCATGTTAAAGTAAACAGTTATGCAAGAAACAAAATATGTAAAGAAGAAAAGATCATACCTTTCCTTAACCTAGCCTTCTCCTTAGCCTTTTTCTCGCCTCCCATCACATAACCAGGGACAATCCAATGGAACCGATGTAGCAGCTTCTCCAAGGTTTCGTACACCTGAAGGCACAGTTCCCTTGTCGGCACAATCACCAAAGCTGCCACATAAAAGTCCAAGCATCAAAAATCATCACTAAACCTCCCAACGAATTCAAAATTCTAGCTAGGTAACAAATAGGCACATACCAAAAGTTCCATGAGAACGATCGACCTTGGGAGAGTAACCCTGCAAGTGATGGATAATTGGTGCCAAATACGCTATAGTTTTCCCAGTTCCGGTTGCAGCATTAACAAGTCTATACATTTACAGCCCACGTTAACGGAAACAAACATGACAAACGAATATAAACATAATTGACACATAAAGTAAATATGAATTAGTAGAAAAAGGATACACATCTCGACCGGAGAGAATTATAGGAATAGATTGAGCTTGTACAAGCGTAGGAGCCTCAAAACCCATCCTTTCTGTTCAATTAACACCAAAAAACCATTAAACCTTATTGATGAACAAGATAAAGCTCAATAAACATATATCTAGTGTGTAATGTGCACAAAGATATAGCCAGAGATGATGAGAGAGAACCTTTGAGCTGGTCAGACAGCTTGGGATCTAGGCCTAGCGAAGAGAAGGAACAAGAAGCGAATAAACCGTTCTTTTCTTTGCTTCCATCTTTAACTTCTTGCTTCGTCTCCCTCGTGAACTGTTGGTTTCTATTTACCATCTTCTTCCTCTTCGACAAAACAAACTAGTTCGCTGCTTCTTTCCCCTGCTCGTCTTCGACAACTCAACGACACTGCAACGGCAAGGGTTTTGCCTCCTACACGACGTCGGGTTGTAGTTGGGCCTTTAAATAGTTTGGGCCTCTCAACTTTAAAATCTCATTCTCAACCCCTATTTTATTTCCAGGCGGTAACAATTAGATCGGTAATTTTACGAGACGCAAACCGAGAGAGAATTAACCGGATTGAAAAACCGATATAAAATTTATTTAGTTTTCTGATAAGCTTTTGACGGTTAGATTTAGATGATATCGGTTTGATGTACCCAAAATGAAACACCCTTAGTCCATACCAAGGTTTTGAAAACAAAATACTTTTCATTCAAATTCAAAGATCATGCACTTTACAAGAAACTGAAAACATCATTTTTATAGGTATGAGAAAAATTTACACAGATTTTCTAAAATGTTTATAAACAATTCACATTCATGCTAAAATCGATTACAAAACTCATTAGCTATTTCTAAACAGATGCAAAGATCTCGCCGTCTTAAAGCCACCTCTGTGAATATATCATCTTCGAAACGATTGTACCATCTCATACTTCCTCAACCTGCAAAACCAGGAATATACAGAAAAGAGTTCATGCCAGAAACGTAGTCCAGTTGAAATTTGAATCTAAGAAACTTGGAATAAACCTGAGGAAGGTTCATGAGCTCGAGAACAGCTTTAGTTGGGGTCAGTTCGTTATCAATTATCTTAGCCACGGCAGTCAAAACCGGCAGCTTCACATTGTATTTCTGTGCTAATGCTATAACTGCCCCGGCCGTAGCTACACCTTCTGCAACCTGTAAACCAGTAGTTATTGAATTTATGGATGTCACATTCAACCAAATTTTGGTTTCATTATGAAGCAAGCGAAACACACCTGATTCATGGAGCTTAGTATGTCATCTAGTGTCTCCCCTGACCCTAACCGGACTCCAACTGTTCGGTTTCTTGAAAGATTCACGAAACACGTGAGCATTATGTCCCCAGTTCCTGATAAACCCGTTATGGTTGTTGGCTTTGCACCCATCTTCATACAAACATGACAGGGATACCCACAAAAAAAAATGCAGTAAACACAAGCTTCAGTAATCATTGTGGTGCGTTTCTTGGATAATAACACTTTCTACGAAGCTATTGTAGACATAGATTCAATTCCCTACCTTTGTGGCTAACCATCTTATCTCTGAACAACCTTGAGATACAAGAGCTGCCATAGAGTTGTTACCGAGTTTCATGCCATCAACAATTCCTGCTGCTATTGCCAGAACATTCTTCAGGGCACCGGCAATTTCGACGCCTGTAACATCACTGGAATGATCAGAGGTTACAAGCTGAGTGCACAAAACTCCCTCAAAGAATCAAGAAATCACCCATTATAGGGGTCACTCACTAACACCGCATATACACAGGACACGACTAACTATCAAACAGGTAGGCAAATGGATATAGTGACAGCCCAGCAGGGAAATGCATCCACGGGTAATTTAATTCAATGGAGTCTGGTTTTCAAAAGGTGTACCTGGAAGTGTTTATTCTCAAGTAACTAGAAGCAAGAAGCTGCTGAACAGAATTGGCCAATTTCTTATCTTTCGAGGCGACCACCATTGCTGTAAGCAAACGTTCCAAAGCATTCAGCATTAGAAAACTTTCTTATGCTTATTGAATTAGACCCCAAAAAAATGTGAATCTAACCAGTAGGTAAGTTGTTCATCAACTCCAGAGCAAATGACGGGCCAGAAAGTGCAACGAAAGGTTGCCGAGGATTCTTTAGAGCAGTGGGGATTATCTGAGACATCATCCTAAGAGTATTAAGCTCCAGACCTTTGCTTAGAGATATAAAAGGCAATCCTGGATCGACATAACCGGAAATTCCCTCTAGAAACGATGAGCTGAACTGCAACAACAAGCCCCATTAATCAATCAGGAGAACATAGAACCAAATTAACCAAACAAAACAAAACAAAAGAAAGAAAAAAATCAAAGGGCTTAAACCTGCACAGGTACGGCATGGAGGCAGTAATCAGCATCAAGCAATGCAGCTTTCGCATCAGTTGTGGCAATCACATTCTCAGGTAGCTTATGCTCAGGGAAGTACTTACTATAAACCATTCCAAAAAATCTACATTATCTCTATGAATTCCACAAGCATTATGAATCGCGTTGGATAAAATTAACTATAGAGTACCAATTATGGTGGTTCTCGTTGATAGATTGGCAAACAAAAGAGTCACGCACAAGCATGTTAACCTCCAATCCTTCTTTCCTACTAGCTACATGTGCAGCCATTGCCGTACCAAAAGAACCTCCACCGAGAACAACTACCTAAACACACCAAGATTCCTTCAAAATACTTCGAAAGATAAGTGAAATTAAGAAGAGGCTGGAGATAACAAACCTTGCGAGTGCGCTCAAGCACATCGGTTTTGGCTTTGGCGCGCCAAGAACGAGACCATCGAACCAGCTTCTCCCACGCGATACGAACTACTTTGCGCTGGTCCTTGCTGATATTGATGTCAGGCGGGTCAGTGAGGGAGTCAGGTTCGGGAAAATTTGGAGAAGAAACGCAACGGACGAAGATAGCGTTGTGTTTAAGAAGCGGTGGATGCTTGCCGGCGAAGCGGAGGTCCAAGCATGCAGGTTGAACCGAAGCCGCCATTTTCGCAGAGACTTGGAGAAGACGAACCCAAAGAGAGAACCCAACCAATCGGAGAGATTGAGGGCGTAAGGGAGAGAGAGAGTGAACAGAATTGTTGTGTTCGTCACTTGCAGACTTGCAGTTATTCTCGGCCCGTAAGAATGTTCAATTGGGCCTTATCTCATTTGGGCTGTAGATTAAAACGCTCACCCATTTTGGTCGTATGAGCAACCTGCTTCGGTTTGATTTTCGGTTCAGATGTTTTGGTTTTAGAAAAATAGTAACTATTTAAAACCGACTCTATCACTCTAACAATCGGTTTAATATATTTTTGTTATCTTTTTTCAACTCCATTTGGATTCAGTGTTTTAGGTTTCCAAAAAATTTAAACGAAACTTAAGCCTTATTTGGTGTATAGATCAAATTTTTATTCGGTTCATATGGAATGGATTTCATTTACTTAATTGAACACTCCTAAACCCATATTAGATTCAGATTTCGAATGTTTATATAAGTTAGGTCAGAATTTGGTGAACATTGAATTCCGCGATTCATTATCCAAAATTTTGAATACGTATCAGCTCAATCAGCTCCGCTAATTTTTGTGGATAGAAATTTTTGAAAATTGACTTGCAATTTTATAACTTGTAGTCTTGTACCATGTGTAGAATATAGTAATGACATGGTTTGTTATATAGTCTAGAACAATCATATGATTATACTAGTAGATATCTAGAAATCGTGCGATACATGCACACCCAAAAAAAGAGAGAAAAAAAGGAAAAACATATATAAAAAAAAAAAATTTGGTAGGTCGGAGTAGAAAGTAAAGAGAATTAAGATATAAACGAAGGATACGTGTCATGATGTTGAAAGCTTCTCAAGAAGACGTACAAGTCTCCGAAGGATATTCTTTGAGGACAATTTCTCCGCTGCGTTTTGAGTTTGGACTTCTCTCTTCTTCCTCATCTTCTTCTCTTTCTCTCACCCATCAATCTTCCTTTGTTTTTTCACTCGCAAAAACTTTCCATGCCACTTATATGATTCCAGTGAAATTTTCCCGCTTCAAATCTGAGGTAAGTAAATCAACGGGGAACAAAATTTGTTTTAACATAAACCTCATATTCAATTGAGACTCTCTGTTTTTTTTTGGTTCTCTTTCGGAAATTCGATTGTTCTCTTTGTGTAAACTTGAAACCTAAACCTTGCTTGCTGCATAAGATTCCACTATTTCTTATTTTTTCTCTTCACGCAGATTTTATCGAATCCAGAAACGATGACGATCTTGTGCAACAGTGGACGCAAAAGAAACAGGAGGAGAACAGAGAGCGAAAAAAAGAAAGAGGAGAATCATCATCAGTGTTGTTGTTGTTGTTGCGTGTGGCCTCCATTTTCAATGTTTAGAGGAATAAAGAGATGTTTATTTCTCTCGTGTTATCCATTTATTCGCTGTTTAGGGTTGGAAGAGAGAAGACATCGTCACCATCTTCATCATCAGAATCATTTTTTTCTATGATCCCTTAGATTTTTTTTTTGTGTGTGTGTGTGTGTGTAGCTTGAGAGATTACGATAGAACATTTTGAAAACATTTCTTGATTTTCAGAAGAAAAAAAAAACATGTAAATAAAAAATCAAATAAGGAATCAAAATGGTTTATGGTTAGGGCTACATATAAATCAATCTCTCATGGTTCAGCTTCTGCAGTTCATGAGATGACATTTAAGTTTCTCAACATCCGATAGTTTCAGAGGCTTCTGCATAAACATTTGAGCTCCACTCGCTAAACATCTGCATGAACAGAACACAAGAACATATGATAATCTTAGTTAATTACTTCCACAGGAAGAAAGCAGAAACAAGGTCTAAATTAGATCTCTAGTGTTCTTAATTACTTGTTGATGCGAGTAGGAATGCTCTCTGAAGACATTATCACAACAGGGACCTCTTTCAAATCTGATGACTCCTGCTACAGAAGCACGGAGCGGATTGTTATATTGAAATTCATTAAACCGGTATAATCAAGTCTCTCGGTTTTTGATTCCGAGAAATCGTTATATTATTTTTTTACCTTCACTTTCTTGAGTAGCTCGAAACCTGTCATTCCAGGCATACAGTAATCTGTGATGATTAAATTCACCTTCATAACCTGGCAATACATTTTGAGTTTTATTGTTATATCTAGACGTAATATCAAATGTTTCATGAGGAAAAATCCTTAGATCTCTTGAAGATTTATATATTGTTTTGCTTACATTGTTGGTCAGTGCATCGATATGCTGATTTTGATCTCCCAAACCCAAATACTCCAACGCTCTAATCGCATTCTCTGCTGTTGTCACTGCGTATAACAAACATTTCAGGAACAATGGTAGAAGAAATCAATAATGGGTTTTGGTCAGAAAAAATTGGAAGGTTGAAAAATGGAACCTTTGCAAGAGGAGATCTTGAGCAACTTCTCTACGAGTTTACGGTCAATGAGATTATCATCTACGGCTAAAACATGAAGCTCTTCATGACCATGATCATGATGTTCATCATAATCCATCTCCATAAGAGACGAACAAGAACCACGGTTCATCTCGTATGTTTCTTAAATGTCAAGTAACAGAGAAAGAAAACAACTTGACAATAAGCAAAGAAGCGAGACTGGCTCTGGTATCAATACAAATACCTTGCAGACATTGCTTTTAATTCTCCACTACCTCGAATAAAGAGATATTCAAAAAAGAAAATAAAAAGACAAAACATACATGTAGAAGAAAGTGACAGATTCAGAAGTTGTGTAGTATGAATCATGTGAATCTGGTGATGGTATTTATGATGGTTTCTTTGATTTTGATTGGTGAAGAATTTCCATAAATGTTACCAACTATATAATTCCCCATAAATAAAAAAAGAAGAAGAAAAAAAAAACAAGATTGAGGAAGAGATTGCATCAAAGAATATCACGGATATCTCGTGATGTCTTATTTTAGGGGTTTTAGACTTTTAGTTTCAGTATCAGTCATTATACATATATAAAGTTGAGAAGTTCCATGTACATTGTCTTTTTGTACAGGGTTACCTGTTAGGAGTTGGGACATGTTCATGGAATCGTGTGGTTTTTTTTTTTCTTTCTTTTGGACCACTTTCAATTAGTATAATAATGCAATACAAAAGTATGATATGTAGACAGATTTATTCGGTAAGAATCCCCTATAATATATCAAGAACCGATTTGATATGATTTGGAATCGTGTATTAAAAGCCAAAAAAAAAACTCAAAAAGATCATAATTTTCTTTCGGACAAGTATAAAGATTTTGTGTGTTTAATATAAGAAAGAAGTTTTGTTTTGCTATGGAGGACCGATTCTTTCATGAAACTGAATAAAGAAATTTATCGATATGATTTGCTGAGGATCTTATAAGCTGATAAGATAAATCTTCCCAATTTTATTTTCCCAATTTTTTTGGGTTTGAATCCTTGGGAATAATTGAAAACAGAAAATATAATAATCATTTATATTCGCAAATGGATAACCAATCTCTTATAGTCATAGAGATCCCCATGCCAGCTGATTCTTTTTTTTCCCTCCTTGTTTCAAATATTTGGATTTTTAAAGTAATGCAAGCTAGTTCGAACTTTTTTTCAATACCTGAGTTTAATTTTTTTTTTTCATGACACAATAACCTATTTTTCATTATTTCAGATAAATTAATTTTAATACGATTGGTTATTTGGTTTGATGGTCTTTCTTAAGGTATTCAACCAACATTTTGGTTGGTTTCATTTCATTTGGTTTTTCTATTTTCGCTTTTAGAAGAATCATTACTAAACCAAAAATTCAAAGCCAATATTATGTGGTATGTTTTCTTTTTTGGATCAGAGTGGGATTTATAAGTTTTAATCAATCATACCCTTATATTTTAAAATTAAATTTTCGGTTTGTTTTGGGCCGTATCAAGCTCTGTTTTGGTTTCCAATGGTGGACTTGAAACAAAATCCATTAGCAGAAAGCTATCAATAAGAAAGTTGAAGATAAACTCGAATTGTGACAAAAAATATCCTTTTTTCCCCAACAAAGTTTGTGAATATCAAAGAAAAATGCACGAGAAGAGAAGAAGAAGTCTAAAGTTTACTACTTGATTGTAGCCTTGGGGATGCTGGAAGTGCAAGGCCCAGCTGAGGTCATGAATGGTATGCCTTTGTATGTGGCTACGCCACTTTCATCGGTGTAGAGATGCTGTAAAATGCGTGTGATCAGGATTCATGTGAGACTGAATGTAAATGTATAATGCAAACACAATACTCACTACTCAGCATCTTGGGCTCTGTTTAAACTATGGAACCTAAAGATATGTGTTGCACATACCGGTGTTATCTTCTCAAGTTGCTTCTTTTTTGGGTTCAGTACATCTTCTGGCTTTCCTTCGATCCTATATGAAAATTTAGTGTTCTTGAGTTAGTGAAGAAGAAGAAAAGCATATATCGAAAGCAATCAATGAGATTTGATGTTAAGTCACTAAACATCATATACCCTGAAAATGAAACACGCTCTCCCGGTTTAGCTCCAGCAGGTGGTAACAACGGTTCTACCACCGAGTGATCTTCATTTGAAGCACAAAGAACCTGTAGCGAAGAAAGCAAAGAGCACAGAAGAAGAGCAAGTGTGAGTTTCACAATACTTTGATCGTTGATGAACTGGATTGATGCAGATAGAAAAAAAAAAGTCTTACCAGTCCTTCTGACATTACATCTCGTAGCTTTCCAGGTTTGACATTTGTAATGAGCGCAACAAGGCGGTTCTTCACCATCGTAAATGCATCAATCAAGAAACAATAAATAAGTAAGCTTTCAATTTCAAGAACCCAAAATCATACACATATAAACGAAGTTTCTTTAATTATTTTTAAATCAAGGCATTACTATACCGCTAGATCATCCGGATTGCAGAACTTTGCTAAGCCACTAACGACTTGCCTAACTTTACCCTCCCCGACATCTATTTCTTCCACAAGCAAACTGCATTGTCAATACATAAGACCAGTCTTTAACATGTTAGCAGATGCCCAGTAAAATCTTTAATAGAGCCATAAGATCAAAGTGTTTTGACCAAAAACCTGTCTGCCGATGGGTGCTTCCATGCTTTTCGAATTAGTCCGACCTGAATATTTAGCAAACTGACACTAAGCTCTGCCTCTTTGTTAGCTGGTTCAGTTTCAGCAGGTTTCTTCTTTTCTTTCTTGGCATCCTTCTGTTTTGTAGCCTTTTTCTTTGGCTCCTAGACCAAACAAAAATGAGGAAACGCCGGATTCTTTACAACAAAATATAGACTCACAATCACATAAATCCAATTTAAAGGTCAAAATCAGTACCTCAGGCTCAGTTTTCTTTGTGCTCGGCTGAGCTTCTGACTTGTCAACAGGCTTTGCACTTTCTGCAGCTTTCTTTGTATTAGTATTTGCATCCACCTTGATCACACTTTTTGATACCTGCGTTTAAAATGGAAGAGGAGTATCAGAAAACCATTTGTTCATCGTGTGTGAAAGGAGAGGAAGGCCGTGTAATACAAATGAAAAAATGTGATATCATATTATTAACTATAAAACGAAAGTCGGGTATGAAAAGATAATTCACCTCGAAGTCAAACTGTGGTAGCTTCACAGGAATTGGTCCAAATAATGTTGACAGCTCTTCTTTATTCTGTAAAAATAATAGCGAGCAGTAATTACTAAAACAGCAGATAGCCACACAGATGGTATTCCTCCATGGCAGACTAACTTGGAAAAATTGTAATGTGGATTTCATATGTTGATTCTACCTGGATGTAGTTCACCCATCTTATGACGTGTGGTATTTTCTCCTTGTCTGAATCTGAGAGGTCAAGCTGAGAACAACAAATCAACAGATAACAGTTCATCTTAAAAGTCCGCTTTTTAAGACAACAGTTTATGAAAAAAGAAAGTTCTTCTTTACAAGATAGAAGAAGATTAGAATACTTATACAGAAACAAAACAGATGTCATGAAAACAGGTAACAAGAACATCATAAGTAACAGTCATACCACTGAAGAATGCAAAGCTGAAAACACAGCAACATCAGCTGCCGATGGCGTCAATCCATTTCCCAAGAGCACAGACTTGACGGCTAACTCTGCATTTAGCTTTTCAAGAGCTGCAAAGCAATCCTTTGAATTTGCTGGGAGACCTTCCGCAAAATCCAGCCACTTCAAAACCTGGAGTAGGCAAAAATGTGAAACGATGGTGCATTGTATTTAATCTCAAACAAACCAATCGCGCTATCTCAAAATGTAGTAGTAATAAGGTCGGTGTTCATATCTCTAGGAACCAAACTCAGGGAGAAACAAATCACCTCCTCATTGATTTGTGCAGACACTTCCTTCCCAGATGCCTTCAAAACATTAGAATACAGCGTCTTGACATCATTCTCGGCAGCCCCGCCCAGAAATGGTGCCTAAGCAAATCAATAACATCAATTTCAGATATATAACCAAAATGAGGGATTGGTGTAAATTTCTGAATGAAAGATAGAAATGATCAACACCCGTGTAACAAAATTCCATGGAAACCCAATTCAAGGAAAACCATAAAGTCCAATTTCTAAAGTTTCTTTCTTTTTCACAACGAGCTTGATGCATGCAACAATACAAGCATAAACACGGAGAAACCTAATAAGGAAGACAGTCCTGATAGATCAATTTAGTACCCATTTAGAACAAAAAAAAAATTAGCAGCTAAATAAATAAATCAAAAGGACCATACACACACTCAGATTTTAGAGAAAGGTGAAGCTTCTGAGATGACATCTTTTTCACTTACAGAGTCTAAGGAGAAGTGTTTACAGAGAGCTGATAGGATCATCTGCTTCGTCTTTGGATCCATCTTTTCAACTATCTTCCCTTTTCCCTTTTCCTTTTTTTCTTCCTTCTTCTCCTTATTGGCTGGCTCTTCGCTGAAAGAAAACACTCCTGCAGTTTTCTTCGATAGGGTTTTTGCCTCGAAATAACCGGCTCTAACGGACTTTTAACTAACGGCGTTATCTAGTTTCTTATGGGCCTGAAAATAAACCGGTCCATTAATCTCTTCTCTTTACCGGCTTACTAATTGAGTTAAAGACCCCTTTTATCTAAGATTTACGATAGAATAAATAAAAAGAAAAAGAAAATTTCAGGTTTGGATCCTCTCAACACTCGCATTCTCCAAAGCCCTAGTAGTGTCTTCGTCTTCTTCCACGGCAGATTCGTGGAAGCACGCCGGTATAACTGATACAGCGTCGTCTTATCCTAGCTATTCCGACGAATAGTCGGTTCTCGATTTTCTTCCGGCAATAATGGCAAACAGGACGGATCCGTTGGCGAAGAACATAAGAGGGACGAACCCGCAGAATCTGGTGGAGAAGATCGTTCGTACGAAAATCTACCAGCACACTTTTTGGAAGGAGCAGTGTTTCGGTCTCACGGCGGAGACGTTGGTCGATAAGGCCATGGAGCTCGACCACCTTGGCGGAACCTTTGGTGGTAACCGCAAGCCTACCCCGTTCCTCTGCCTTATATTGAAGATGCTCCAAATCCAGCCTGAGAAAGAAATTGTCGTCGAGTTCATAAAGAACGATGATTACAAGTATGATTTCTAAACAAAGCTCTTGAATTTTTATTCTTTTGTAATCTAGATTGGATACTGGTCTTAGCTGTTTCTCAAGCATATATCTACATAGCAGCTATAGGTTTCTTTGAAGTGTTGCTCGATAGATTTAGGTTTGTCAAGTTGATTTTATATGGACTTGCTGTGGTTGCTTCCCAACGTTTTGGATGTTCTAAGTGTTGATTGTTGAGCATATGTACTCTCTTGGTTTCTGCAGATATGTTCGTATTCTTGGCGCGTTTTATCTCCGTCTCACTGGGTCTGATGTTGATGTCTATCGTTACCTCGAACCTCTCTACAATGACTACCGAAAAGTGAGGCAAAAGCTATCTGATGGGCGTAAGTTTCTTTTTCTTTTCAATGGTGCGTTGTTTTATACTTTTGATTGATTTTTTTCTCTAACCAGTTTTATTTTCTTGGATTGGAAAAGGGTTTTCGTTGACCCACGTGGATGAAGTCATTGAGGAACTTTTAACCAAGGATTATTCTTGTGATATTGCAATGCCACGTTTGAAGAAAAGGTTTGTTCTTTTGCATTTAAGTGAAGCTGATGAATCTTACCTTTTGGTTTCTGTAGTTTTGTTAGATGGTTAATCTGTCGCTGTGATGATAGGTGGACGCTGGAACAGAATGGTTCTTTAGAGCCAAGGAAAAGTGTTTTGGAAGACGATTTTGAAGAAGAAGAAGAAAAGGAGGAGAATGAAGGGATTGCTGATGGATCTGAGGATGAGAAGGTCAGTGCTTTTGTTCTGCAATAGTGTGTTTCTTTTTCTGTTTTCTGGTCTTATTTAGAAGCTCTATGTTGATACCATCTTCCTCCTCTTTTACAGGATCATCACCGCAAGAGTCCTGAAAGAGAAAGAGAAAGAGACAGAGACAGGAGACGTGACAGTCATAGGCACAGGTATCTGAATCCATACCCTTCGATAGATACCATCTAAAAATTCTTTCTTGTGATTTGTTTGTTGCTTATGATTGTGGAAGCTGTTTGACCTAGCTAATGCTCACGCATCATGTCTAGTATTCTCTCTTTTAAATGTCTGTTTCCTCTATGGCATCTCAAGCCATCAGCGGTTGCATACAGTTTCCGAAATTAAATTGTGGAGATCCTACCAGGTTTTACTGTACTGACAGTGTACAGTGAGAAGTATGATGGATCAGACATTCATAAAATAGCGTACCCTGCCTGATATTTGGCAATTGGCCATTATGTTATTATATGAAAAGAATCTTTAAATCTATTTTCTTAGCTTAGATGGTTGTTTCATGAATTATAATTTGACCGTTGCTTTGTTTATTGGCAGGGATCGTGATTATGATAGAGACTATGATATGGACCGAGATTATGACAGAGACTATGAAAGAGAACGTGGGCGTGGTCGGGATCGAGATAGGGAGAGAGACAGAGATCACTATAGAGACCGGGATAGGGAGAGGGAAAGAGGCAGAGATAGAGAACGAGACAGGAGAGACAGGGCAAGGCGTAGAAGTAGAAGTAGAAGTAGAAGCAGGAGTAGGGATCGTAAGAGACACGAGGCCGATGATGTTCGGGATAGGGAGGAACCGAAGAGAAAGAAGGAGAAGAAGGAGAAGATGAAGGAGGATGGAACCGATCATCCAGATCCTGAAATTGCAGAAGCTAATAGATTGAGAGCATCTCTGGGACTGAAACCCTTGAAATAAGCAAGCGGGGGAGAATGAGAAGACTCGCAAACCGAAGCCAGGACTTCCTATCAATTTGAAACTTACTACTTTGTGATGCTGGGTGTATTCAAGTGTTTCTGCTATATTCAAACTGAGATTTTGGAAGTGTGTTTTTAGATGGAAATACAAATATTCAAATCTCATGGTTTAAAGTGAACTAGCAAAGAATTTTGATAACCAGTCATAAACTCATAATAACTTTCCTAAATTCACTTAAATCATTTAAAAGTTATCAAATCTCAAATCACATCAAATTTTTGGTTGAATACACTCCTTGAGTGTTTTAAACTATAGAACCTTTGATGTAGAACAAAATGGACTGCTCCTAGGAGATTGTATGTGCTTAAACCGGATGAGAACAGTGCTCAAGTGATTCTGATTTTGAGGCCATATCTACTCCGGACCCGGTATGTACTATGCTTTTCCCGCATTTTGGCATGCTTACGTGGCATTATCACTTATTAGTCGCACATGTAATTTTTATGGGACCCACCAAAAGTTTTCCGGGTAAAATGATGCGGTTCCATAATCATCATTCCATCAACAATCACGACGCGCGTGCTTCTCATGTCTCACCGACGACGTCGTTTTAGAGTTGTCTCTGTCTTACTTTATACCTCCGCTTCCTCTCTCTCTCTGTCGCCTTCCAAATTTCCCGGCGGAAAATCAATGTCCGTTAACGAAACTATCGATTCAAGGTTCCAATTCCACGTGGAAGATGACTCTTTGCAGTTCCGTGTCGGAGAGTCCAATCCCAAGAGGCGTGAGCTCGAAAGCGTCGGCGATCGCCGTTTCGGAATCTCCGGAACTCGGCAAGGTTTCTACGGAAGTAGAATCGAGAACGATGAAACGAGATATTCCGATGGAGATGATGACGACGAAAACGTTTGCATCCGAAGACGTGGCTCTCTAATTCAGCCCGGTATTGATTCCAGTAACAATCGTACTTCTGTAGCTGAAGAAACCAACAGAGAAAGTAAAAATCCAGGTATATATACTAGTTCAAAATTTCTTGTCTTTCGATGTTCTCTTACGACTGCTGAAAGTCCATGATTGTTGAAGCTCTCAGTAGCGGATCGAAGAATTCTCTGCTAATTCCTGGTTTCACTCATGTTCAGCTGGTTGGGAACTGGTTGTGAGACAAGAAGAGGAGGAGAAATCATCTATTTATCGCCATGAAATGGAGCTTAAGGTGATGATCACTAGCCCAGATGGTAACGTATCTAATAATTCCCACCATAAGAAGCAGGCAAAGCGAGATTTTGCTTACTTGGAGAAGGAGAAAGTCACCAGTGTCAGCTCTTGGGAGTCTCTCAAGGCCATCCTCTCTGATCCTGTCACGTAAGTCTTAGCTCTGCTTCTTGTGAATCGCCGGAGAATTTGAACATGGTTGCGAACTAGTATCAGTTTATTCTGCGTCAATGTCAAGCTTTGATTATATACAATTGTGGTATGAGGGAATGTGTATCTTCTAGAGAGACATGTGGAAAAAAAGCATGTAGTATAAATGTTAGGTCTTGAAAAGATTCTGCTTTGCTTTGGACAGAGGAGCCTTGATGAATGATGCTACGATCCTGCCTTGTGGACATTCTTTTGGAGCCGGGGGATTAAAACAAGTTAAAAGAATGGTAAATGTTTCTTAACCAATCCGCTTAAGATCTCTTTGCTTTGCTTTGCTTTTCTCATATGTGAATCTTAATGATCTGGGGTTTTGACAAATTTTGTTGTCAGAAAGCATGTTTTACTTGTTCCCAGCCTACTTCAGAAGGATCAGAAAAGCCAAATCTGTGTGAGTTTAAACGACATTACTAGTTTAAATGAAAAGACTTTAATCTCGTCACGAGTAGTTTCTTTTTTCCTGAACAAGTTTATGGGTTTGTTCAGCTCTCAGAGTTGTAGTTCATGCTTTCCGCCAAGAAGAAGCAGATCATAGTCACTCGTTGAAGCGAAGGAAAGAAAGGTCGGATCAGGTTTGTTTTCTTACCATATGTAAACCGTGTAGCCTTATTTACTTACAATTAGAAACAAGATAAACAGAGTTTCTTTCTTCTGATCTGCAGCACAAGAGAACTTTATGTATTCCAAACATCACAGAAACTCCTAAGAGTAGTAGTAGAGGCATTCAGTTTCCTTTCTCCGTTGGAGATCGAATCATCATAGAGGTCTGAGATCTTCCACCATACCGATGTCACTTATCACAATCTAGAAAAATACTACTTTCATGTTTTTAAACTAACAAAAAAAACTTATGGCTTAGGGAAATAAAAGGACGCCTCCCCGGTTTGTGGGACGCAAGGCTGTTATAATGACGCATTGCTTAAATGGATGGTTAAGTCATTTTCCTCTCACTAAATCTTCACACTAGTTTTATCCATTAGATGCTAAAGCTCTTGCAACAAAATGGATTTCTATTTCAGGTATGTTGTCAAGACAGTGGACAATGCAGAGTCTATTAAGTTGCAACATTGCTCACTTGCCAAGATCCCAGACAATTCACCTTCTACGGTAACAGTGGCTGAAATGGCACCGTCTTGGCTCCCTACTTCATAGAAATCAGCTTTCAGCAATTTTTCCGTCATGACAAATTGGATACTACATTTCATTATGTGGTCATAGCAATGAGACAAGAATTCTCTTTTATTAAGTCCAGTCTTTTATTAATGAAAACTTTGCTCTCCTAGAACAGACATGAGTATAACAAAGGATCTCTTCTAATGTTACATATACGAATGACAAAACCATCAATCGCCTATTATTTACACTGTAGATAATAAGTTAATAACAATCAAAAGTGCTAACACAAAAGACAATAGGCACTGGGATTAGTGGAGCCACGGTTAACCAAAAACAAAAAGGATTAAGAACCCGTAGGCGGTGGTGGCTTCATCATTGAAAAAAGAAAACTGCAGGTCGAAAATATGGAAGCTGCAGCCGCCTGAACCGCCATGCTAGTCTCCAGATTGCTGCCATCTTTCCCAAAACTGCAGACGTATTGTAAAGCAAGAAATTTTGGTTACACTAGTCTCTTTTTTTTTTTAGCTTCTACGGGGCTGCTTGGTCTAACTTTCTCACCTTGAATCTGATGATTGGGAACTGAAAGGCGAGAACTCGTCCATTTGTCGTAGACCTTCGTTGCATCGTGATTGCATTTCCTTCACTTGGTTTAACGAACGTTCCTGCGAATTTCAAATCCTTGGATCAATACATTAAGCCACCGCCTCGAGCTTAAACATCCTGACTATAATCAATGGATATGTACGCACCAAATCTCTCTCTTCATCATAAAGAGCTTTGTCAATCTGATCAAATTTTGCACACCACTTTATCTTATGCGCATCTGTTACTATTTTATCAGAAGAAGCACCACCAGATATATTTGTATTCGTCATCTGAAGAGTACTTTCTTGGTTAGAAGAAGATGAAGAGACGAGAAGCGGTAGTTCGGTAGTCAAAATACTTTGAACTCTCTTCCTACTATCCAGTACAGCTGCAACAAAAAGCACAAGATCTCACTCAGGTCATGAAAACTCAATTAACCCAAAAAACGTCTCTGCGGTATTTCTTCAGATAAGTAAATGCGCACCTGAAAGCCGTCCGAGGAGGTCTTGGTGAAGAAATTCCAACCATTGGGAAGCGACGGTAGCAGCTAAAAAGCAAACAAACATTTTCCTTTTAAGGACTTTCCGTTTCCACTTCTGCAATGAATTAATCATCATGCACCAGAACCTAACATTTATCCTTCTGCCATAACTAGACTAGCTTAAATCAGTAAACCTAAACATTTTATTGACAAAAGTCTTCATTTTTCGCCATAGGACTTTGACAACTTAATTACTTCAGGCATATTTAGAAGAAGGAGGAAAAATTTAACTCGTGGTGATCTGAAACATGAGAAAAAGCACTGACCTTTAACAGCAAGAGACGTGGCTTGTTCCGGATTTGTAATGGAATTGGCATTATCAGATAACCCGGTAGATGGTAACTTAAAGGCTAATGCCCTGTCTTCTCTGACTGAATCTGAACATCCAGGATAAACAGAGTGATCAAACATTGATTGTGAACGTTCTCTCCTCTGGTCTGAATGGGCTATAACGACATCTTAATGAGGAAAATGGGAATGATAGATACCTCTTACATTCAAATTGGCATTTCTTTCCCCCACGGTGGCATCATCAGTAGCATTTCGAATCAAAGCTTCAATAATTGAGCAGACCTGTTTCTTACTCCTGACATGGTTAATAATTCCAGGGTTTAATTCCGTCAACAATCCACTTGGCGCGGTAACATTCGAGAACCTATCTATTTGCTGCTGTTCCTTCCTAGGGACATCGTTTCTCTTCTTTAAAGAGTCGCCTCTCCGCTTACTCTTTTGTGGCTTCTGCGCAGGTACTTCAACAGGAGTAGTTGTTACCGCAGGGCTTGGAGCAGATACTCCACCTAAAGGGCCTGAGAGAAAACCATTTCGCTTCATTTCCATCCATCGCCGCATTGAATCTGACTTTTCCGATGAACCCGCTGCACCACACATCTGAAAAGGACCAGCTTTTTCGCTATTAGGATCTCGTCGAAGTAAATCAGACTCTGCTGCTCCACGTGGACTTCCAACAGATTCAGAAATCTCTCTCGGTTTCAAGAGGCTGCTATTCTTTGAAACGCCATCAACGAGTCCTCCTCGTGACTCACAGTTACTATCATGTTTCGCAGTGTGATTATTCTCAAGCAAAGCTTGTTTTCCAGAATTAGCAATGCATCTATCATCATCTGTAGAAATTGACTTAGCTTTAAGCAAGCATGTGCTCGTCTTAAGAACTGTGGGAGGTTTTATATCTTTAGCCAAAACTTCTTTTTCTCTCACTACCCTTCCTAAATCTTCAGCATCAGGAGCCGCAAGCATCTCAGATGCTCCAGAAATCTGTTCACTACTAAGATTTGGTTTCTGAACAGTTCCAATGTCTCTATCAGATTGCATGTTACTGGTTTTAGTATCTGTAGCATAAATATAAAAACAAAGCTGGAAAATTTTAACAAATCATCCGAAAATTCAGGGATAAGATCACTTCTACTAATCTGAATTTGAGCGTATTCGCTCGTCGAGCTAAACAAATTCAAAGAATTACCAGAATCCAGATCTCGCAGTTTCGCACGTTTAGAACCTAAATCATCTTTTTCTTCTAATCCATTTCCGTTACGCTTCTCTCCCGAAAACTGAGAAATTGAAGAAATCCAGAGACCAAAAGCAAAACCCATAAACAGATTGCAATAATAAACAGCAAAATTTGACGAGGCAAGAGAAAAAAAAAAAGTCATCGGGGAAGAGAAAAGAACCAAACCCCAGAATTCGATGCCGGTTCCGACGAAACCCCAGAGGAAATCCCTCTCTGATCCTCCATTTCCACGCCAGAAAGAGATCTCTTTCCAAAAACCCAGGTGACGAATTACGCAGAAAGAGTCCACACAGGAAGGGTTTCTTCGAGAACGGGTAACAAATAGGGATTGGGGAACAGAAAGTGAACCAGAGAGCGAGATTCGAAGAAATGATTAGGGTTTGGAATTTGTGTGTTGAGTGAGTGAGATGCAGAAAGTTTTGGGGATAAATCGATGGAGACGGAAGAAAAGGATTTTGAATTCAAATGGAAATGAAAGGTTTTTGTTATAAAGGAGGGCTTCCTCGCGTTTTCCGCCGCTCACCTTCGAGGCTTTTATATTCCTGAAACACCCAAGTAGGGCTCTATTGTCCAAATCGTGTATTAGCGATATGCCATTTTCGTTAATTGTCTGATTAGTAAGGTGTGTTTGCTTGCTCCACCGCCAACTCAATTGCTAATATTTTTTACCTACGCAATATATCCACATTTGCAAACGCTCTTTTCTATTACTAAAATTGCCGGGAGAGAATATTACAAAATTTGATTCGACAATATTTTATTTTTTATCATTCATTTCAAATTCGACGAATCCAACTTATTTTGTTGTCATATACAACGAATTTAGATATCTGGAGTGATCTCAATTTTAATATGAGAAAGAATTCATTTTTATATGAACTTCCTTCTTTATGTTAAGTTTAAGATCTTATGTTTTTATGTTTAAGATCTTATGTTACTTTTAAAATTTAGTTAGCATGCTATACGTAACAATAACGAAGAAAAAAAAAGGTATGTTGCATATATGTTAGTCTAAGTTTTATGAACGCAAAAAGATTGATTGCATCGGCTATGAAAATGGGATATATGAATTAAGTATATATGTGTTAGTATGGGTTATATATATACAATTTAAACGCAAGTATATATGTGTAAATATGGTATGATATACAATGCGACGAAGAATATAAGTTAGTTTATTTAAGTTAAAATGGTAGTCCGATTGTTTATTCAGAGATAGAGCAAATTTGATTTATCGCATCTTACATTATATATTGCCAACTTGATGAAAGCAGCTGCTAGGCTGATTTCTTTTAGTTAGTACGTAGTATGTTATCGGATATATGTATAAACGTCGGATACAAAAACAAATTTACTTGAAATGGGAGACGGGATTGCGATAGCAAAACACTATTTAATAACTCATACCTTAATCGAACCTATGTTAAGGGATATAAATCTATGTTCTTATGTTTTGTTGTTGTTGTGACTATCGTTTAACATTTTAGTTTTTACTATTTAGAGAGTAAATCGTCACAAGTTACTTTTGTAAACAAAGTATAATTGATGATTAGCAGCAATTAAATGTTTAATATGTCATGAGGATTATTCTGTTTCTCGTTTAAGTTAATGGAACTAATTGAGAGTAGAAAAAAAAAGCTTACGAAAAGATGGTTGGTAATCTAATTTACATTTTTATGCTATCCAATGCAACATTTCAAAAAGGTTGTTATAAGAGAAAACATAATTTGAAGACAAGAGATAGTTCTAGTGTTACAAATTAGTTCGTATATATCCAAAATGTTATAAATAATAAATAATTATAATTGGAAATGATATTAGTCTTTTAGAGCACGATTTTGTACGGTTACATTATTTAGTAAAACACCTATTAAAAATAAATGTAGCTGACATTTGAATGATTAACATGCATAGAAACAAACAAAATACAATTTCATAGACTTCAATTACTTCAAGTTTAAAAATAAAAATAATTAAAGTACTTCAAATGTGACAAATATCAATTACACACAAATCTACATGGTTTTGTATGTGTAATCAAAGGGTTTAAATTAAAAATCAAAAATCAAAAAGTAATGCGCAAACGACGCCGTTAGGAGCCTGTTTCGGATTGCTTTTTTTTTTTTTTGGCCATCACCTAGGGACAAAAAACGTGAAATCTGAATCTCTCTTTCTTTCGCTGTCCGATTCCGACAGATAGACAAAGGGAGAGAGAGGGCGCGAAACACAGAGAGAGAAGGACGATCCAAGATATGGACGATCCTTCGAACGCTAAATCTAACCAATGTCCGCCTTTGGCCAACCCAGCTCCGACGCCGGCGCCATTCCGGGGACCGTACCATCGGCGAGCACATTCGGAGGTTCAATTCCGTCTCCCTGAAGATCTAGATCTCTCGGAACCTTTCGGAGGATTCGACGAGCTTGGATCCGAAGATGACCTCTTCTGCTCATACATGGACATTGAGAAACTTGGATCCGGATCCGGATCCGCTTCCGATTCTGCTGGACCATCCGCTCCTAGGTCCGATAACCCGTTTTCCGCTGAAAATGGAGGCTTGGGAAGAGACGACGCTGGGAATTCGAGGCCTAGACACAGGCACAGCCTCTCCGTTGATGGGTCTTCGACTTTGGAGTCAATCGAGGCCAAGAAAGCCATGGCTCCTGATAAACTCGCCGAGCTTTGGGTCGTCGACCCCAAGAGAGCTAAAAGGTTTCATCTTTCACCCCAAATTCTGAGAATTTCGTATTCATTTCTTGCAATTGTTTTCCCCATATAATCTGGTCCTTGTCGGATCGTTAACAACAGTTTATGCCTTGTTTTACAATTCGCGGGAAAAAAGCCAGTTTCTTTATGACCTTTTTTTGGCTGGTGTTGATGATTATATATATCTTTTGATGTTGATGACTTGATGTGATGCATTCCGTGTTCTTTTTGAGATCTTTTTTTTTTACTCTTGATTACGTGTTACAATCACTTTTCTTTGACTCTGATCTCGAATCCCAACAATAACTGAATTTTAACTGAAATTTAGTTAGCTTCTACTATGCTGCTTTTCTAGTTCTTTTTGGCTGAGATATAGACCATGAGGGACCCATAAATTTGCTTTTTTTCTTTCTTTTTGTGATTAAATCGGAGGTCGAATTTCTGTGGCAATGCGTCTCTTTCATGATGGTGTGATGGCCCCCAACTATATTATTTTTGGACTAGCTTTTGTTTGATTGGCTGGTTCAAGCTGCTTGTTTCAATTAATTTTTTTTTTGTGTGGTACTTACTCGTGTGGCTTGAATAAGTTTAAGTCTTAACATTCAAACTGTCGACATGATCCCTTTCTCACATTCCCTTTTAGTATCCAACTGTTTGGAATTGAAAGTTATAGTTTCAAGTGGCTTTGGTTGTGAATTAGTTGTGTGTGGAATTTGATCTGTCTCAATAGGGTTAAGGGCGATCCATGTAATCTCGGAGATCTTTAATTTTAGGTGGCTGTTATTGTGACTCATTGTAGCAAAAAATGAAAGCGTTACGATAACTTGCTTTATGTTATACTAAACTCACATAAAGTGGAAATATTCACCATTCTCTATTAATTTCAGCTCTAGTTGTCTAATACTTGTATCGTGCACTGTGTGCAGGATAATTGCTAATCGACAGTCTGCTGCTCGTTCAAAAGAGAGGAAGGCTCGGTATATCTTGGAGCTCGAGAGGAAAGTTCAGACCTTGCAAACTGAAGCTACTACTTTATCAGCACAACTTTCTTTGTTCCAGGTTTCTTATTACAAGCTCCAATACTACATTTGCAGTAACATTTTCTTTCTTTACACAATTTTCAGTTACGGAAATAGCACTCAGTTTCTCATCTACTGCTTAATAACTTGCTTCTTACAGAGAGACACAACTGGTTTGTCATCTGAGAATACAGAGCTCAAGCTTCGTTTACAGGTCATGGAACAACAAGCTAAGTTGCGAGATGGTATGCATTTAATCCTTCCCCTTCTCCTTTTAACGGTTTTAAGCTCATTTACTGATGAATCTTCCCTATGTAGCACTGAACGACCAACTGAAAAAGGAAGTTGAGAGGCTGAAATTCGCAACTGGAGAAGTCTCTCCCGCTGATGCCTATAACCTCGGAATGGCACACATGCAATACTCTCAACAGCAACCACAACAATCATATTATCAACATCATCAGCAGCAAACCGATGCTCAAAACCTGCAACAAATGACTCATCAGTTTCATCTCTTCCAGCCCAACAACAACCAAAACCCGAACATTACATCATCATCCTCTTGCCAAAACCCTCCCTCTGCTCATCAGCTTATGCATCACGCTACTTCGAATGCATCGGGTCAATCTCATTCCTTTTCAGAGGCAATGCATGAAGACCCTCTTGGCCGGTTACAGGGGCTTGACATTAGCAGCTGTGGCAGAGGCTCAAACTTTGGTAGGTCTGACACCGTCAGTGAAAGCAGCAGCACCATGTGAAGCTGCCTTTTCTAGATTCCGCTTTGTCGATAAACCTATTCTTTTGCGCTCCCTTGAAATCTTTAGCTAAAAAGGTAACATCTTCGTGACCGCCTGATTCATTTTTAATTCTGTAAAACTGGTTTCTTTTTGGGGGTTTCAACTTAGAGACCACAGGTGTTTTAACTTGTCTGATTTCTCTGTTTCCTGATTCATATTGTTCTTCCGGGGGAATTACCAAAGTCGAACCAGATATATTTTTTTTCTGTTTCTGTATGTCTTTTTTGCTTCCCTATAGTTGCTTCTACAATCATCCTTGTAAATGGTGGTTGGATTTGGATTTGGATTTGGATTTGGTTATGCCTTGAAACAGTAAAGAAATTGTTTATCTTTTGCAGGTCTCTTACATCACTTTCTGTTCTTTTGTTGTTGTCAGTAAAACTTTTGGTAGAAATTTTCTATATGTTGGCTTACTTTTGTAGTTATGTTTGGTTGCTTCAAGCACAAGTTTCTCAAGATCCATAAGAGCCCTAAAGTCTGAATTCACTTACTTTTCTTAAAACCGCTGTAGGATTCAATTACTACAAACCAACGAAACAAACCATAATTATTTTACCAGAATATATTCTGACCCCCCAAAAAAGTATCATCAGAACGAATTGGAGATAGTGAAACATATCACATAAGCTTAGACACTAAAACAGGGTTACATCTTACAAGTTAAATTAAACCGGGTCAAGACACGAGTTACATGAACCAGTCATGTTGAGGCCACTTAAACGGTACCCTAGCGACCAAACAACAAAATTAAATTCTCACATGAGAATCTCTTAACTATATCTTCAGAGAAGCTTAACTACACTTAAGTTTATCTTGTGTCGGCTCAGAAGTTGGGTCATTGAAATGACTTTCTCTTTGTACAGTGACCATTCTTCAGGCAGGGATTTATGACCAGTCCCAACAGTTTTGGGGCAACTAAGAGACAAACGCCTTGTGATGGCTACTTAGAGTGTGGTCCCTTTTGTTTTCTTTTGATACATTTTGGATAGATCTCACGTGACCTTTTTGTGGATATAATTCAACAGATTATTGTTATTCTTCCTTTTCTTCGATCTAGCTCGATCTTGCTCTTATCCAGCACTAATTAGACGAGTGTCTAATTGACAATGAATTTAGTCGAGATTTTAATTTTGGAATTCATGTTGTAGTTTCAAAGATAACATGTTGGAATGTGTTTCTTTCTGTTGTTAATTTAACATTCGGTCGATTAATAGTAGGTAAACCTTGTAACACTGAGATCTCCCAACCTATAACTATTAAACAAACGAACTCAACCACTTAAAGATTCTTTGTCAAGAACATATTACTAAAAAGGCGGTAGTTTTCAAAAAGTAAAGGTAATTCCATTATCTACCTAAATTAATTAGTATTATATCATACATGTAGCAGCTTGTGTTGATTAATCACACAATCTTTTCTTGTTGGAATTTTATTTTCAATATATTGACACCAATGGCCACTTACGAACATCGCCATTTTCGTGATTTGGTTAAGTAGTGCCATAAGTTTGGATTTATGACAAAGACATGTTGCCCTGCAAATTAGCATATTTTAATTTTTTTTTCTGTCAGAATTTGCATATATGATTATTTAGAATATATAACGTAATACTTTTTTATAGCCACAGGACTGAACTAAAATAAAATTCCATAATTTGTGATTCATACTAATGGAGAAAAGTTTACAAAAGAAACATCTACAAACTTAGAACGAATTTAACTGGTCAAACAATAACTCTTACAATTTAAACAACGTGGAATTAAGGAGAAAGAAAACCTACAAAACCTATCTTGTAGCATGCTGACCTCATCTAGTAGTGAATTGGAGCAAGTAAGTCTATGTATTATGGGGGTGAGTCATCTTCATCATCTAAGAACGATTCATTTCAAATGAAGGCATATTAAATCTAGTGAGAGGATATTTTACATGACCTAGGTTAGGGTTTCCAGTTCCGAAAAACACGTTTTCTTGCCTCCCAAAAAAAAAAACATTTTGTACCTTGTTTTACGGTGTGAGTTCCTTGAATTGCCGTAATTTGCTATCTTTTATTTTTGAGACAAAAATCTTTGCAAAAAGGCTTGAATTTGCTACAGCTTCTATTTTTTGTTTGTAAAATATTAAATTTGCGAAGTAATCAATTTTCTTTTTGTTTAAACCCTTTTTCTCTCGAACAATCAAAATACAGTTTTTTTCTCCATTTTTAGGGAATCATGAAGTAACCTAGTAAAAACCAAATGGCTATGTTAAGTTAATTACATTTTAGACATAGAAGTGTAACTAAAGGGGCCACGAAAAGGAAGTATCAGAAAAATGCATGAGAGGAGACTCACACGTCGAGGGTCTCTTGCATGTGCTTGTAACATGGTAGGACCATCTACTGACCCACTTACTATTTTCTTTGTTTTAAATTTATAAGTGCCTCTCTAGTCAATCCAGGCCATTTATATAGGTAAGCAAAATAATATTCGTAACCAAACCCCCAAACTAACAGAATTGAAATATTTCTTATCAAAAAATAGTTATGAACAAATATAACTTGAGTGAGACTAGTGTTTTAAAATTTTGGTTTATGTATGATGGATTGTCTTATTTATTTTAGAAAAAAAAAAAATTTAACAGTGTCTCGTACTGTTACAAAATATTTTTTTTTTTAAACTAGTTGCCACACACCGTACCTAGTGGAACCGAAAATGACCTTCGAAATTCAAAGTTAAGCTGCTCAAACGTTTTTTTTTTTTTGTTAAAAGGCCTTCATTAAGATAAAGAGTTTTACAAGAAACAAACAAGAACCAAAACAACCATAAAAACATAAAGGAACTAGAAAAAGGGGGGGGGGGGGAAGGATCAGATGCCAACAGCATAAGTAAACAGCAACAAGCCAGCCAAAGAAACGCTTAATGTCATCCCGGTGACCAGACACGGAGTAGACGAGGACCGCAGCGGAGTCCCAAATTCCTCAAAGCGATTGCTTTATTCTTCAGAACCACCAACATTCTCTGCAGGATCACTTGAGGCAGACGCGTGGTGCCATGATGGAACCTTTGATTCCTCTCTTTCCAAATTTCGTAAATACAGGCCTGCCAACCTTGTATTAACGCCATTGATATATCTGCAGATGGATTTGCTACTGGTAACCAGTCGAGAATGGGAGCCCACGAAGTGGGAGGAGATGATAGGTGAAGACGGGTCGTCAAACCTGACCAAATCGTTTTCGAATATGCACAGTCAAAAAACAGATGATCTCTAGATTCACCTGTAATACCACAGAGCAAGCAATCGGATTCAACATCCAGTCCCCATGCCCTCAACCGATCCAAAGTTGGGTTCCTATTAAGCATAAACAGCCAGGCTGTAGTACAATGTTTTGGAATTCCCGCCTTGAACCAGATAAACTTATGCCATGTAACTTCATGTTTAATGTCTCTAATTCTCATCCAGACCTCTCTTGAGTTAAACTTTTGGGATGCTTTGTCCCCGATCTTCCATTGAGGGGAATCTGCACCGGGTTTAACCAACATTGAGGCAATAGTAGTCAGCAATTGCAGTTGAGTCTCAGATCTTGCCGGAGGTAAACGCCAACCATCATCTGTACGGTGGTCCTGCACCAAGGAGTTCAGTGGAATACCCATCAAGGCTGGACCTGCTGGACCCAGAAAATGAATAAGCTGACCAAAAGGAGTCCATGGATCCCACCAGAAATACGTTTCATCGCCACGACCCAACTTTATTGTCAAAAAAGATAAGGCCTTATGACGAATTTTCAGGATGCGTCGAAACAACCAAGAATAAGCGCTGTTACTATCATTCAGGGACCAGAAAGAGGCCTTTGAAAGATAGTTGTGGCGTATCCACGCTACCCAGATCGAACCTGCACGGAAGTATAGCATCCAAATTAACTTAAGCCCACAAGTATCATTCCAGGTTGATATCGATCTCAATCCAAGCCCGCCTTCAGACTTTGGGAAGCAAATAGAGGCCCACGCCACTTTTGCTGACTTGGAGCCATCCAGTTTTCCATGCCATAAGAACGCACTGCATAAGGAATTGATCTTTTGGATGACTTTCTTTGGTAGGAAAAATGCTGCTGTCCAAAAGCCAATTATTCCAGATATTACCGATGCCAATAGCCTCAAGCGACCCGCAAGGCTGAGATGCCTATGGAGCCATCCATTCATCTTAGCCCTTATCTTCTGTATCAGAGTGTCACAGTCCGAAATGGACAACTTTCTCGAGCAAAGGGGGAGGCCTAAATATCTGATGGGAAGCGAGCCAGGAGACAGAGAGAAGACGTTCTGTAGATGATCCAAAGTTTCCTCTGAGACTCCAGAACAGAACATGGAGGTTTTACTCATGTTTACGCCTAGATCCGACATCTTTTCAAACTGAGACAAAACAGTAAAGACCCCCGCCACAGATTCCGCTGTACCCTCCACAAAGATCAGAAGGTCATCGGCAAATGAGAGGTGGGTAAGGTTCTGAATTTCACATCCTGCATGATATCTGAAAATTCCATCCTGTGCTGAGCTGCTCAAACGTTGGCATAGGAAAAAAAAAAAAAAAAAAAAAAAAAAAAGACGTTGGCATTCAAGAAATTAACAGAATATCAACTGTGGTCTACCTATTCTCCAAAAAAACAATAGTAATATATCAACTGATAAAAATCAAATAGACTCACGAGTTGATATAAGTTCACTAGAAAACCGGACCTGGACACATGCCGATGATACAAATTAATGGAGCTCCCAACTTCCCACTTAAAAAGAAAAGTACTGTTGTTTTACTATTAAATATGTTTAAGAACTAAATTTAATCATGATTTTTCTGATATTTAAACTCATAAAATATAGTTTAAATTTATTTCCATGATTTAAAAAACTTGAAGTTTATATTTCGTTTGGGATACGAAAATCTCAAAATCGGCTCAAAAAGTTCATATATAATGTTTAATTCACATAGTATGTTTGCAAATAACGAGATCGTGGCCACAGATTATAAAGAACCACGACCTTAGTTTTTAACATGAGAACGAGAGAAAAAAAATTGTGGTAGTTGAACTGCGTATTGAATATCCAGAAAGTCGAATGTGTCATATATAAGAATTAACGCTAATGTGTCTTAAGAATTAACGCGCCAATTATTGATTTGACGAATATAGAATGTTATCTAATATCTTTATAGTCAACTCACATATACCGTTAGAGAAACCATTGTAAGGATCATGATCTGAATCATACAATTTTTAGAATGATAAAGTTTGGATTAGAAGTAATGAACTAGATATAATCGAGTTTTCTGCTTCGATTGAGTCTAAATTTGCCTATCTGGAAAACTATTCTCCATCTCCTAATTAATTTGGACTTTGAAGCTTTTACCCATAAGTACTGGATCTGGTGTGTGTAGAACTAAAGAGAATGATGAGATGTGGGAGAATAGGGTAGTAATGAGTATTCATGTTTGGAGTTAGTTCTCATCACATAGTTCTTGCAATGTGTGGATATGACTGTATCCGCTCAACATATTATGCATTAATGCAATGGATTACTGTTAAAAGATGTAGAACCCGTGATCGTAGATTCGTAGAGACCAATTTGATCGTGGTAACCGACCGTACGAGTCACCTTTATTAGACTATTACGTTTGTTTTTCACTTGATCTTTCAAGTATTCTTTCCTCTAATACCACTAGTTTTTGTTTTTCTCATCTTATAGACTCTTCTATCTCTTTTTCTACTTTTATAAAACTGTATAGCTTCAAAATATCATAGCCATGTATTAGTTCCTAAACTTTTTAAATTTGAATACCTTTTAGCAAAAAAAAAGAAAAGAACAAGTATTTTGTTGATTTATTTAACTACAACACTAACAAGAGATGTGATCATATATGACCAACTTAAAATGAAGGAAGAGACAAACTAATAAAGACTTGTGTATTGATGCATGTGCAAGTAGGGGCCACTTGATTACGAATCGCAGTTGGTCTAACCGCAACATTTGCATGTGGCCACAACCTTCAAAGTCCCCCTGATCTTATAATATCATAAATACATACATTTTTTTTTCCTTAACTGTTTGAATTTGTTGTCCACGATTAATATTCTACAATCAACAAAAAAAAAACATAAAAATGCTTGACCTCTACTCAAGGTTAACGGTGGCATACATTGTTGACTTGACTGCTAGTTCTCCAGACACTTTACCCATTCGGCCGTCTTGAAAGTTATGCTCGACCTCTTGCAAGAAAAATAGTTTTAATTTTATTGTAAGAAATACCCAAAACTGATGAGGAGATTGTACAGTACATTGGGATATAACGAGAAATAACTGGCACAATTCTCTCGCAAACTGGCCAGAAGATAATTGAATAAAATACATGAATGCCAAAAAGGTGAAAGAAGACCAGTATACTTAATGAGTACAGACTTTCTTTTAAAAAAATAAAAATATTATCTCTTGCCAGTATTATACAGTCCAAAACTCCTATATATACTCAATCCCTCCACATTTGATTCCATATCACTCTCACGATTCTTTCTCACCAAATCAAATCAGATACTCAAAACCGAATTAACTAACCCCTCAAAAACAAAAAGAAAAATGTTTATTACATCATACTCCAAATATTCTGTAATCTCAACACTATCCATATTCAGCTTATTATTCTTCCTCCAAAGAACCCATGGAGACGACGGAGGTTGGCAAGGTGGCCACGCCACCTTCTACGGTGGCGGCGACGCTTCAGGCACCATGGGTATGACCAAAAAAAAAAAACAATAAATCCTTATGTTAATAGCTTAGCTAATTGAATCCATTTATACAAATACATGCGTATATGTTAGCTAGCTAACACGTGACATACACACAAAAAATGTTCAGGAGGAGCTTGTGGCTATGGAAATCTGTATAGCCAAGGTTACGGGACGAACACGGCGGCTTTAAGCACGGCTCTATTCAACAACGGACTCACGTGCGGCGCGTGCTACGAGATGAAGTGCAATGATGACCCAAGATGGTGTCTCTCGTCAACTATCACCGTCACAGCCACCAACTTTTGCCCACCAAACCTTGGTCTCTCCAACGATAATGGTGGATGGTGCAATCCTCCTCTCCAGCACTTCGACCTCGCCGAGCCAGCTTTCCTCCAGATCGCTCAGTATCGTGCCGGCATTGTCCCCGTCTCTTTCCGAAGGTTTCGTTTTTTACTTTTCTTGATACTTGGAACGCAAGAAAGCAATAAACAACAAAAGTGATTAAACTAAACTAATGAGTTATGTGTTGTTTGGTTGTGTAATTTGCAGAGTAGCGTGTATGAAGAAAGGAGGGATAAGGTTTACGATAAACGGACATTCATACTTTAATTTGGTTCTGATATCGAACGTAGGAGGAGCAGGAGACGTCCACGCAGTGTCGATCAAAGGCTCAAAAACAGGGTCGTGGCAAGCAATGTCTAGGAACTGGGGACAGAACTGGCAGAGCAACTCTTATCTCAACGACCAAAGCCTCTCGTTCCAGGTTACTACCAGCGATGGTCGCACCGTCGTTAGCAATGACGTGGCTCCTTCTAACTGGCAGTTCGGACAAACCTTCCAAGGCGGTCAATTCTGAGTCCATCCTCCTCTCTCTCTCTCTCTCTGTTTTGGGTGATGACGTGGCTGCGTATTGCTGAGGTGGCTCGTAAACACCCGCCATTAGCTTAGCCTTTTTCCTTTTTTTTTTCTTCTTTTTTCTTATTTACGAATTAATGCTTCAAAGTTCAATGATTGCCTACAAAGAACAAGGTTTTTTTTTTTTTGTGGTTTATTGAATTTAGCCTTTTGGCATGTACTTTTTGGTTTTTATTTTTGTAATCCAAAATCGTTTAGCCAGTGGCATAATAAGAATTATAAAATCGAATTTACATAACCAACAAATTAAAGAGCATTTTGACTTTTGAAGTCAACGGTCGCGACAAATCAACAACCGCGTGAAGAAGAATCGTACTGGTCATCTCTGTTTTCCACAGACGGCAACTTTGTTTCTCTCCGGAGACGTAAAGCAAAGCTTTTAGCCAATCCAGTTATGACGTCTGCCGGAAAAGAAGTTTCTTTCAAGTTGTCAGATCATTGCCTTCTTAAGATCGTCAAAGGCGACATCACCGGTTGGTCCGTCGATGGCTCCTCTGACGCTATTGTCAGTGTTCTCTCTTTCTTTCTTCCTCCGTCGTAATCAGATTTATTGTGTTACAATCAAAATTTATAATAGGGCTTAGAGTTCTGGCTAATTTCTTCCATTTCACAATAGAAAGTTATATTCTGGAAGATTGAAATCGATTACGCGAACGGAAGTTGTATAGAAGGCGTAAGCGCCGATTAAACCTAAGTGCCTGCTTAGAATATCAGATATCTGTTGCCAGTCTGACAGTCATTAGAGTAGATAAGAATCCGAGAAGGCTTTTTAAGTAATCAGAATCCCAAGTTTTTTTTACGCCTTGATGCTTTTTTTTTTTGATTTTGAAAGTTGAGAGATAAGGAAAATTGATTGCTTCAGGTTAATCCGGCAAATGAGCGTATGCTAGGTGGTAATGGTGCAGATGGAGGTACTTTCCTTTCATTTTTGGTATTTTATTTTGTTTTCTGAAAAAAAAAAGAAGATCATTATATATGGATGGGACTTAACTATATTCATTGGAAAGCCATTCATGACGCTGCTGGGCCACAGCTGAGAACAGCATGCTATGATGTCCCAGAAGTTCTTCCCGGAGTCCGTTGTCCCACCGGAGAAGCAAGAATTACGCCGTGTGTCTCCTTTTCTCCTTCTCTATATGTAAATGTTCTGAATCTTCTTCACAAGTTTTGTGTGTTGTTGACTGTTTTCTGCTCTTTGGAAATGGAGTAGGGGTTTCAGCTTGCCTGCATCTCATGTGGTTCACACTGTTGGACCTGTTTATAATGCCGAGAAGAATCCTAAGAAGCTCCTGGAAAGTGCTTACAGGTAAGCAAGAAAAACACGATTCTTCCTCTGTAGTGGACTGTGTATATATATTTGGTTACTTCACTTATTACTTTCTCAGTAGTGGACTGTGTATCTCAATTAATGCTGGTTTTTGGTAACAGGAACAGTCTGAGAGTGGCTAAGGAAAACAACATTCAGTACATTGCATTTACTGCGATATCTTGTGGTATTTTCAGGTAAAGTTATAGATATTAGGAAGACTTGGAAACTTGATCTTTGCATCGTTGGCTAGATGTGACTGTGTGAATCATTTAAACACATGATATGAAACTTTGTGTTATTCATCTGATCATTGTTAGGTATCCTTTGGTTGAAGCTGCTTCGATAGCTATTTCCACGGTTAAGCAGTTTGCTAAAGATTTTAAAGAGGTAAATTAATTGCCTTCAGGCTACATTTACCCTTGGTTCCTTTTGCCATTAACAGCCAGTGAAATCTTTTGTGGAACAAACACATATTTTTTTCCTTTTACTAATTGTGCTTAAGAAATACTTAATAAGTGCAAGAAGTTCTCTTTAATATCTCAGTTAGTAAAATTGTGTGTGTTTACATATATCTCAGGTGCATTTTGTTATGTTTAGCGACGAGACGTACACAATGTGGGTGAACAAGGCAAAGGATTTGCCACCTCCACCTCCGAGGACATCCAAAACAGGATTTTTCAGTAAACTCAACTGTTTTAATTAAATAGTTTTGGTATTTATGCACCCCGGCAAAAAAGAAAAGGCCATTGTCTTGTGTATTTGTATTCTTTCACAACAAGGACAAGCTTTGAGAGAAACGTGTTTGATCTTTTATGAAAATCTTTCATTGAGTGCTTTCTAGGCCCATATCAGGCCTAATTGATTAAACCTTCGGTACCAATAATGGGCCAAGCACCTCGGAGTGAAAGAGAATTCGACGAGGACTCAAATGAGACGACGACTCTGGTTGACCTGTGCAGTGGGAAGCTTGAGCCTCCCTAGATTACACTCGAGCTCGATCCTTCGATCAACTTCGGCGTCGACGGGAGCTAGTCTGATCTCCGCCACTTCCACCGTCAAAAATTTCCACGCCGCCGCGTCACGGTTTCGGAGCGAACTGATTACTGCTTCTTCGTCTGTTCTCTCTTCCCGAGTGGTAACTGTCTCATCAATGGCTTCTGGAGACGAAGGAGCTGTTTTCAATTTGTCTGATTCTAGTCTTCTCAAAATCCTTAAAGGCGACATCACCAAGTGGTCCGTCGATTCATCTTCCGATGCTATTGTAAGTCTCTCTTTCATCAATCCAAATTCTAGGGCCGGCTTTTTTCCACAATGGTTAGATTCCTAAAATTAGATGAAACTTGATTCGTTGGCTACGAAAATGGTCAATAGGCTCTTGCTTTATCATTACTTTGACTGAGGCACTCTGTTCCTTCAGGTCAATCCAGCAAATGAGCGAATGTTAGGTGGTGGTGGTGCAGATGGAGGTAAATGTTCACAGATTCTTGTCCTCTTTAATTCTCTCCACTTCCATTGCCATTGAGTGATTGATTTGCTACACACTGTGACCATTCTGAAATCTGAATGCAAATCTCACTATGTCCTGTGACAGCAATACATAGAGCTGCTGGGCCACAACTCAGAGCAGCATGCTATGAGGTCCCTGAAGCTCGTCCCGGAGTCCGTTGTCCGACCGGTGAAGCAAGAATTACGCCGTGGGTTACTATTTTTTCTTGAATTGAGGTATTTTTGGAAATTGGGGTTGTTGATTAATGGACAAGTTTGGATTTTGATGAAATTGGAACAGGGGTTTTAACTTGCCTGCATCCCGTGTGATTCACACTGTTGGACCCATCTATGACTCAGATGTTAATCCTAAAGAATCCCTCACAAATTCTTACAGGTAAGTGTCATTGCAGTTTCTCTTGTTTACTGTACTTTGACTTTATTTTTCCTCTTAGCAAACAACAGTTCATTCTTTCTATTTGCTACAGAAATAGCCTCAGAGTGGCAAAGGAGAACAACATCAAGTACATTGCGTTTCCTGCCATATCTTGTGGGGTTTACGGGTAAATTTGTCACAACCAGAGACTTGAGTGGTTTATATGCTACAAGACCTGTTCTATTCAATGTATTCTTTCTTTACCATTACAGAAATGACAACTCTTGGAAAATGATAAACTTATATGAATAGAGAGTGAATTATATAGAGAAGTCTTATCGAAAATACTGAGTTGTTGGGAGGAAGCCTTTTAGGTTGGGAGCGATGGAGATACTATAACAAACCCTAGGCTCTTGTATCGTTGATTGAGCGATACAGAGAGATTGAACTTTGAATCTATCAGAAAATTTATGTGCAAAGTGAAAGAGAAACCTTATTGTCCCAAATGTATTGTTTGTGTTGTTAGATATCCTTTTGATGAAGCGGCTGTGATCGGTATATCAACCATCAAAGAGTTTGCTAATGACTTTAAAGAGGTAATGGTTGCTTCTCTCGTCCATATTGCTACACTTCCATGGATACAATGCAGTAACTGACATTTTCTTTTTTTACAATCTCGTATTGTCATTCTTATAAAGGTGCACTTTGTTTTGTTCGCGGATGATATTCATAGCGTGTGGGTAAACAAAGCAAAGGAGGTACTCCAAAAAGCGTAAGACTCCCTCTGCAGCCTAAATTGAGCACATTGCGACAGTTAATGAATAATGCTAAATATAATTATGTCGTACTTAAAATAACAGTTGCTTCTTCCTCGATCTGTTTGGTGAGATGCAAGTTCTTGTTGTAAAAAAATAATAATAATAGGAGTCACCGACTCAATTATCTTCTTATGAATAGAATGCCAAACTCAGCTATGAAGCATCACTGATTCGATTTCTTATTTCTTAATTATACCAAAACAAAAATAGAGTTGGAAGTAAAACCAAAAGGGTATGGCGAAGATGATTAGGGACGGAACTTTTTGAATCTACAACTCAAATATCATTGATCACTATAGTTGTCAAAAAAATTTGTTCATCACTGAAACTTGCAAACCAAAATGCAAGCTCGTATATATGTTTATCGTAGCTAAATGTAAACTTACCCGAAAAAGAATAATTATCTCAGCTACGTGACAATTGGGTTAGGGTAGTAGAACCGATCTCGAATATTAAAAAAAAAAATTGTTTGAGTGGAAAAAACTCAACACAGTATTTAATTAAAAAAGACAAAATAAAGCCCAAGCCCACTATACTTGGAGGCCCGAGAAGCAAGAATAAAAATTCACGTCCAATGTCGACGAAATCGACGAGAAGAGAGTAACCCTAGCAGTCACAGCTGAGATCATTGTGCCTTCGTTTCACGAGAAGAGAGGAAAAGGAAAAAGCTTCTTCTCCAAGATGGTACTCTTATTCTTCGATTTCTCTTCGTTTTCTAAAATTATTCAGAAATCGAATCGTTTGTCATCGTTATTGCTGTGTTGCAGACTTTCAAGCGTAGGAACGGTGGGAGAAACAAGCACAACCGAGGTCACGTCAACCCAATCAGATGCTCCAACTGTGGCAAATGTTGCCCAAAGGTAAAAAAATCTCGCTTTTCAATCGATTATTTCAACATTGTATAGAGTTTGAGAGTTTGATTTGATTTTGGTTTTGTGGGAATCGTTGGATAGGACAAGGCGATTAAGAGGTTTATCGTCAGGAACATTGTGGAGCAGGCTGCCATTAGAGATGTTCAGGAAGCTAGCGTCTACGATGGTATCTTTGATGATTCGTCTCTTGTTAATCAAATTAAAAAAGTTTGGATTTTTGAAATACTAAGTTTGAAATCTCGTTAGGATTTCTGGCACAGTAATAGCATTTTGAGTCTTGTGACGTGTATGGATTCGTAGGGTACACATTGCCGAAGCTATATTCGAAGGTGCAATACTGTGTCTCATGTGCGATCCACTCTCACGTTGTCAGAGTCCGATCCCGCACCAACCGCAGGGTTCGTACTCCACCGCCGCGTTTTGCCAGACGCAAGGTAATCTCTGATCACTCACAGTTCAATGGTCTTATAAGATACTACAAGTTTCCTTCTTTTTATTTACTTTGTGTTGTTTGCTTCATTTGGGTCTGTCGATCTGATCACGTGATGATGCCCACTTGGTTTCTGGATACTAATTTCTGTCTAATATGTGTGAAGATAGTAAAAAATGGTTACTTTGGCTTTGTACAAATTCTCGAGATGTTGGGTTTCATTATCTTAAGAGTTAAGATTCATGTTACCTTTTGAACTATAATAGATAGTTGCTTCAGAATAGTCTTATGGCTTCAAAAAGTTGACTTTTGAGATGGGTTAAACATGCTAGTAAACCTTCACTGTATTCGTTGCTTTCAGTGAGAAAGATTCTTCTTCTGTTGTATCATTTGCTGATATTTAGAATGAATTTTTCTGTAATTATCATCAGGAGGATGCTCCCAAGCCTGGTCAACCAGGACAGGCCCCTCGTCCTGCTGGAGCTGGACCTGGAGCTGCACCGCGTGTCTGAAGCCTGCTTCTTTCTTTTTTTTTCCTAAGGATTTTGTTTTCCTTATGTTGGGTTTAGAATGTACTCCCTCTGTTTCCAATAATTACATGTTTTTTGATATTTCACAATATTAATTAAGTATTTACTTCCAATTACAACTCTATCCTTGTTTCGTTTTCTTTTTTTCAAGGTTTTAATTTTCCGTATGTTGGGTTCAGAATGTACTCCCACTGTTTTCAATAGTTGCATGTTTTTGATATTTCACAATATTAAGAAAGTATTTACTAAAGTGTTGAACAAACAAAAAAAGTATTTACTTACAATTACAGTTCTATCCTTGTTTTAATGTTAGATTCTTCTTCTGTTAGAATGAATTTTGACAAATATGTTAAAAGACGCATAATCATAGATATCCATTTTAATGTCATAACCGCCTTAATCACAATGAAGATTAATCGTAGAATCCTATTTTGATGATGTAAAGTTTTTAAGACTATAAAAATATCTGATATGCTAACATATAGAAATACTCTAGTATAATAATAATTCTGATTAATAAAATTAAAATAAACCATAATATATGTGAGATTTTAGAATGCAAGATAAGTTTTAGATAACAATAGATAAGTTTAGATAACAATAGATAACAGGGTTTTCTGGTTCTTTTAAAAAAGAATCGAGAATAGACATAAAAAAAAAAACGCCCACCCATATATTTCAGAAATATATTTCATAAATATAAGTGAGATTTTAGAATGCAAAATAAGTTTGGATAACAATAGATAATAGATAACGTGTGAGAGTTAATTTCGGTTTTGTGGTTTTCTTGGAATTTTTTTTTCTTTTGAAAAACCAGTCGGTTTATAACTAAATTTCGGTTTGGTTTTATATTTTTTTTCAATTCGGTTTTTTGGTTATGATACTATTTTGCCCACTCTTATATGTTGTTTGTGATATATATCGGTATTCACATAGTTGTAGATAGTCATTGAACTTAAGATTAAGGATAAGATTAATGCATATCCAAACTAATTAATATTATATGAAAACGCTTAATGATCAACCAATCTAATTAATATATATGAAAAAAAGGAAAAGTAACATAAAAAAACAAAAACAAAATTAGTATAACTAATTTCACAAAGCGTTTGGATTTTGATCAGCTCTAGAAAATATACACTTCATTCTTACATTATCCATTATATAACTAACTGATCGTGATTTTATCTGTATATACCAATGATTAATAAAAAGTTTTCCTACGTAAAAAAGAAAGTGTGAAACAAAAATATCTCCTCCTAATCATCTACGAAAGAGGACTGAGCGTGGCCACCACCGACTAACCAAGATATAAATAGAGAGCAACGTTGAACAAACAGCTCGTTAATTTTCTGTAAACCAAACGTAAAAGAGAGAGAGAGATATTATATCCGTAGACAAAAGTTCAACACCATCTATGGAGGAGACTCAGAATGATCGTGGAGTTGGTTTTCGGTTTCGTCCAACAGATCTGGGGTTGGTGAGGTTACATCTTCGCAACATGGTAGTCCATGGGAAGAGCGGTTGCATAACAACTTTGGATGTGTACAAGGACGAGCCATGGCTTCTTGATCACGTAAACAACGATCTCTTCTACGAAAACCAATGGTACTACTTTGTTCCGAGACCTAACTTAGGAGGCAAGAAACCGAAGCGGACCGTACCAGGAAGAGGAGAAAGTGAAGGAGGCACATGGAGAAGCGTTACTTCGAAAAAGGAGATCGATGACGATAACAAGAAGGTGGAGGGTTACATGCAGGGTTTCGTGTACACCAAGCAAGTGAACGGAATTCCAGTGGGCACTAATTGGCTCATGACCGAATATTCCCTTCATAATGATGTTCACGACGACTTGGTCTTGTGTTGGATCCGATACAATACCGACAAGAAGCTCAAACCTGAAGTCGGTGATCAGGCGCCTCGTTTGAGAAACAACGTCCAAGTGCGAGAAGATGAAGAAGCTGATTTAACCGGTTTCGCTAATGTACTTGAGGATATGTTGGTAGAGGGAGAAGAACATGGTGACATCACTCAGCAACAACAACATCAAGATCCACGGATTTTTCCTCCTCTTCTTCAAGGTCATGATTCAGGGTCCGAGACGCCGATGATGATGACGACACAGAGCGACGACAACAACAACATGACGATGCCGTACAACGAACAAAATCAGTGGGGTGATTTTGGCTTCGATGGCTCGGAGAATTTGATGTTAGACGTCGATGGACTCATTGGCTTTAGTGGAAAATAGGCAATTGCCTTAGGCTTCGGCTTTTAGACCACATATCAATAACAATTAGTTAAATTAGTGGTTTATTGTTAGAGTTTTTAAGAGATTTTATATTCACGAATTCAAGTTTTCTAATAATAATTTTTAATTTCAAATCATAATTTATATGTCATCCTTTTATTGTAAATCTAATCAATTTAATTTTTTTTTTACATATTATTTGTTATTCAATTCTATCATTTTAATATGTTTTGCTAGGTATTTGGTATTTTAGTGTCTTATATATTTATTTTATACATAATTTTACATTTCAATGATATAGATTTTACAGTTTGATTTATATTCAAGTTCCATGTAAAAACTATACATTTATAAAAAATTACAATTTTCTAAATTATCTTAGGCCTCAATATATTGGCACGGCAGTGGATGACATCAGTTATCAACAACAATAACACGAAGCGCAATTTCAACTACCTCAAATGATCCCTCGAGCTCAAGATCCAAGAAGACTTGTTGTTCAAGTCAAGTTTACTTCAAACTGAGTTTTTGTCTTTAAGTGTGTAGTGTGCTCTGTTCGGCACTAGGAGTTAAGACTTGATAATCAAGTCATCATAGGTTTTTGATAGAGTTTGTTTCCATATATTTAATTTGCTTTGCAAGAAAAGCTGTACGATCTTTTAATTTATTAATTTCCATATAGGTTAATTATATTACAGTACTTTTGATACCTTGTGAGATCAACAATGAAGATAAACCGGGATATAACTCCAGCTAAACTCTGAATTGGTTCTGTGAACAACTTCACCAGAAGCAGAAGCTGAGACAAGGATGAGAGGTGTGAAATCCCATGAATCATGCTCAGGTACTTCATTCAACCATATGACTGTTTTCTGCGAAACCCAAAGAGGGCGTAAAGGTTTCCTCAAACATGAAGCCAGAGAAGCTATATCAGCTCCACTCTCGTCTAACTGTCTTGTCCATTCATCTAGTCGAGCTTCAATAGAGGCCTTCTCAGTTTTTGAAACCCATAGTGGAAGATGTAACGAACAATCCCATTTATCAAACACTTGCCTCATGTTGCCACCACCATGATCATCACTAGTCAAACCCTATTCAAAGAGAAAAAAAAAACAAAGAAGAAGAAAAGATTGTAAATATCAACTATGATTCCTCAAAAGATTAAAGAAAAACCAGTTCTTTAACCAAGTTTCTTCCTCTTGGCAATATCAAACTGTGAAAACACTTAATTTTCCTACGTCAAAAGGAAACTGTGAAAAAAAGAGGGAAAGTAGTATACTTGAGGATTTAGTTAAAACACTTAATGATGATAAATGATCAATCAAACTAAATATAGTAACATGAAAAAACCAAAAAAAAAAAATTAATTTCACTAACTCTTTTTGGGTTTTTATCTCTTTTAGGAACTATACATTTATTTGATCGTGATTTTATTATTGATAATGATTTAAAAGTTTTCTTACGTAAGAAATAAAGTGTGAAAAACTAAAAGGAAAGTAATATATTCGAGGATTTAGTTAAAACGGTTAATGATCAATCAAACTAATTAATATATTTGAAAAAAAGAAAGTAAAAAAATAAAAACAAAATCAATATAATTAATTTCAAAAAGCCTTTGGGTTTTGATCAGCTCTAGAAAATATACAACTCATTCTTACATTATCCATTATATAATTAATTTAACGTGATTTTATCTGTATACCAATGATTAATCAAAAGTTTTCCTAAGTAAAAAGGAAAGTGTGGAACAAAAAAAAGGGAAAAAGTGTGTCCTCCTAATCATCTACGAAAGAGAAGTGAGCGTGGCCACCACCGACTGACGAAGATATAAATAGAGAGCAACGTTGAACAAACAGCTCGTTAATTTTTTGTAAACCAAACGTAAAAAAGAGAGAGAGAGAGAGAGGGGGAGAGAGAGAGAGAGAGAGAGACTATAATGGGAGAACCTTCGTATGTGGATGAATCATCGCTGAAAACTATCCGTGTTCTTGGCAAAGGAGCTTATGGCTCCGTCTCTTTGATGGTGCATCCCCGCGACGGACTTTACGCGAAGAAGACATCTTCCATTCAGTTTAAGGAGAATCTTGAAAAGGAGCTCAGGGTCATACTTCGCTTTCGCAATCATCCTCGCATCGTTCAAGCCTCGAGCGATCACTTAGTAACCGAACATCCAAGTTGCTACATCTACATGGAGTACGCCTGCGAAGGGACTCTCGACAAGTTCATCTCTGGTTTCCGTGGGAAACCACTTCCTGAGTTTATGATCCAAAGCGCCGTTCGTATGATCCTACAAGGACTCGAGGCTCTTCACTCCAATGGCTACGTTCACTGCGACATCAAGCCAGCAAACGTCCTCATCTTCCCTTCCACAACTCTTGGAGAGCCATGGGATCTCAAGCTATGTGATTTCGGTTCATGCAAGGAACCAAATACCGATCCTGCTCCTCTCGATGGTTGCACGGTTGTCTACATGGCACCGGAGTCTTTTAAATTTGGGCCAAAGGGACAGATCGAAACGTGTTTTGACGTATGGGGTTTAGGGTGTATCGCATATCAGATGTTTGGAGGAACACCACAGCAGGAGTTTCTGGAAGATTACTACGAGTGGAAGCTGAATGAAGAAGTCTCTCCCGTGGCTAAGGATTTTTTGACGCTGTGCCATGCAATTCCATCACGCAGGCCCACCGTGGCTCAGCTCTTGAACCATCCTTTCGTCACACAAAGCCTCGATGCTCCATTGCCAATGCCTGACCACATTACAATAAGAAGATTGGCCAACGCTTCCAGAATCTCCCCTCCGGTGATCAGATGATCTCGAAAAGCAAATGATTTTTTTTAGTCGTGGCGGCTTTTTAGGGTTCGGTATTTTAGGGTTCGGTATTTTAGGGTCATATAGTGGAGGTTTGTATCTTGGCTTGTTGGTCAAGTAAGAAAGTATTTACCAGTTTTTACTTGTGGGTTTTTCATTTATGTGCCAAGTTTCAGGAACGTTCTTCTGAGTCAGCATTTTCTTACTTTATATTTATTTCTTTGTTGATTGGTGATGATTTCAATCTTCGGATGCTCTAATTTTAATGATTTTGTTGAATTTCTGATGTGACTGTGATGGATTCGTTTCCTCGTAATGTTAGCCGAATCAACTCAGCCTTTAGGAATTTCGATCTCCTTATGATTTCGTTTAGTTGTTAAAAAAGTTTGTAACTCAATTCCGCAGTTTATGATTTAGAAGAATTTTTAGTCGGAAAAAAATTTTCCAAGTTAATCAAAAGCTGAATACATTCTTCTTAATCATAGGTCAGTGGATAGGAAACAGTTGTTCTTCAAAATCAAATCTCAATAGAGTTACAATATCCAAACAATCTCGAAAACCATAATCTATCTTCATCGTTTCTTTAACCTAGAAGAGGCGGTTCTACTTGAGCCTGTCCTTTCTTAATCTTTCAAGTTCCACACCATTTGCCAGTGCTCTAGTGAAAGCGTAGTCTCACCATAGCTCACAGACATCATGCGAGCCATTGTCAACAATCTGCGCCACATCCAAACAAAATTGAGAATTTTCCCATATTTGATGAGAATAAACCTTAAGGAAGGCTTTAGTACCTACCTGCTCAAGTCTTGGCTGCCTAAACTACGATCCGTTTGCCTTGCTGCAACCACGTCATTCTCCACTACCTGCAACGGAATTTTGCAGAATTTAGACTCAAAAGTCGGATAACAATGGCTTTCTTTAAAAACACAAGATACTAAAACTATTGTCGTAGATAATACCTGTTGCAAGTCTTGCCCAATGGAATGAGATAACGATTTGCAAATAGCTAAGTAGCATCTCCAAGCTTCTGCTGTTTCTGGTGTGATGACTTCCAATGAGTCCATTTTGGAAGGTTGAAAAGGTAGAAACAAATCGGCGGGCATTATGTCTGATTTCCCCTCAGAGGAGATGAGCATTTGAACGTCAGTGGCATTTGTATCTTGAAAAAGTTACAAACATCTATCATGGAGTGGAACAATCACAAAAGAAAGATCCGAGTAAAACATGTGTTATTTTTGTTTTTGTGTGATTTTAGGGTAGATCATGTATCCTGACAATTGTAGGTAACCCCTATTGAAATAGGTAGTTTAAGAACCGTAACAGCATTAACAATTCAGGTAGTTATCTTTACAAGCCTTTTGCTTTTATAGGAAACATATAAAAGTTGGTTGGTAATGTATCGCTTTTTGAGCTCATTTAGAAACTAGACAAAATTTTCAAACCCTCAAACAACTAAGATTTTTGTTTTATAAAACCAATTTTCTCACAATTATCAGTGGACGTATATACAAAAGCTATACTAATCTACTATTGACGTATATGACTATATGTTTGATTAGTCCACTGCTCATCAAAGAACTTATCTATTTAATTTTTAAAACCCCTTTTTTATTGAGTAAACAATAATTAAAAAGATGTCTTCTTAGTTCACTTCATTGGAGCATGTAGATCCGATCCGATTCTTTTAATACTAGTAAATTTTCTCCTCATTTTCTTAAATATTATGTCATTAAAAAACATGTATTAAATTTCGTCTGTGATTTGTTTCTATACAAACAAACTAAAAAAACTTATTTATGAAGACAAAAGTTGATTTCATAAGATTTTCTAAAAGCCATCATAAAAACAAGATAAAAATCATGACTATTTAAGCAAGCAAGGTCAGTGATATATATCGGCTGCAATTACGTACATCCAAACACTAGATTTCACAAAATCCATCTATGTAAATGTATCCGTACACCGTAGATATCTATTTTGTCGTCTTCTTTCTATTAGGCTATTTCTATTTATTTTGTTTCTCTTTTTTTTTTGGTTTACTTCTTTTTTCTTTCTTTTGATTTATTGGGTTTTTTTTAGTTATGAATGAGTCTTCTTAGTTTATTATTATTTATTACAAAAAAGGAAGTAATAAAAAAATATAATTTATTACAAAAAAGTCAGATTTATTAGCTTTTGGGTCCATTTCTTTTTCTTTTTTTTTTGGGTAATTTATTTATATATATCTATGACTCATACAGTCACAGTCTACGAACCTTCCATAAATTTCTTTGACTTTTTTTTTTTCTCCCGGCGATCGTTTCATTTTCATCTTACTTGTTTTATCTTCTCTTCTCTTGTTTATACGCCAAGCTGCTCTTTTTTCGCCGGAATTTCAGTGGGTTTTTTCTTCTTTAGCTCTTCACTATCTATCTGGTCTGAATTCTTAAACTAATCACCATTGTGTCGATTAATTGAACCACCCATGATTTTGGTGAAAATGGTCTGCTTAAGCCCTTTTCGCTTTTCTGTTTCAGTAGGCCTTAAATCTTAATTTATCTCTTTATCTTCGATAAGCTGCGTTTGATAAATAAAAAGAAGCCAATGGTTTTTCTCTGCGCGTGAAATTTCGCTTCTTTATTTTCTATTTCACTCTGTGAAATTCAAATGTCTATTAATTACAGTCCTAAAACCTAAAATTGTTCACAAGTGTTGGTCTTTGTTCAGTTGTTTTTTTTCATCTGAGTTAATTCTTTTGATTTGTATGTCGCAGGATGAGTTAAAAGCCACTTGGGTTTCAACGGATTTGTTCAAAGGAACATTCTTGACACATGGACTAAAAGCACAGGTACTTTTCCGATAATTACAACTCAAAAAAAAAAAAAAAAATTCCTGCATTTACGAGGGTGACAAAGGTTTGTTCTTTTTGAGTTTAGAAGAGATGAAATTGTGGTTTCGGAAGCTAGTTTAAGCTGTTGTAATCATTACCATGGAAGCTGGGCAAAAGCGAGAGGATCAGAATCTTATAATCAATTTTTAATTATTGGGTATCTTAAAGCCTAGATTTTTATCCTTTTGAGTTTGGCTTAGATTTAAAAGCTAAGAAAGTAGGGGAAGCCTAACACTGCATTTACTATCCACCATTTATCATTGTCATGCTCTGTTTTGATTTTCTTGTCTTGTTTAGAATGTAAATTACTGTCTGGTTTGGCTTGAATTGTTTTGAAGCATTCATTGGTGGAATTAGAGAAAATTTAATCCAAGATTTCCTTTTTATTACTAAGCTTGAAATTGAATCTTCCCTGTTTTCTCTTCATTCTCTGATCTGATCTGTGATGATTCAATTTGTATGGACAATCAGGTTCTGCCTTGTCTTCTCTTCTTCGGTTAAATTTATTTTCTTGAGGAATGTATTGATTTCATGTTACGACTTTCTCTTTCTTCTATGGTTTGTAGATGTCTTGATATGTCACTTTGATACAAGTAAGCTCGTGGAGGTGATCTTCAAGAGAGGTCGCCAGTCTGAAGTTTCTGGAGTATAAAAATCTGTAGTTAGTTCGAAGTTTTGTGTTCAAATGGCTGATGTTCCAGAGAGGTTGTCAGTCTCCTCGTCTTCATCCTCGTCATCATCATCTTTGTCACCATCATCTTTGTCACCATCAACAATGCCAATAGATGGAGAATTGTGGATGATTGCCGAGGAAAGGGCTCAGGAGATAATAAACGCCATCCAACCGGTCATTGCTTCAGACAGAAGTAGGAACGAGATCATCGAGTATCTCCAGACCCTTATTAAGGATCGTCTTGGAATTGAGGTTAGATCTTTGATGCTCCAGTTGACTTTCTGTTTTGTTTATTAGGTCTGATTATATTTATGGTTAGGGCTCTATTTCAATTGATTAGTGGAAAACTTTCCTTCAGTCTCCACTGTGTGGTTTTGGAATCAGGACTACTGTTTTGTGGCCTTAGCATATGGTTTATGTGTTGGCTTAATCGCTTTTAAATGCGGTATTGAATTTACCAGGTCTTTATATTTGGCTCGGTGCCACTAAAAACCTATCTCCCAGATGGAGATATTGATCTGACAGTCCTAACTCCTCAAGATAAGGAGGAGGAATTGGCTACTGCATTGCGCGTTATGCTTGAAGCTGAAAAAGGAGAATCTGATTTCCGTATAACTGATGTTCAATATATCGCAGCACAGGTTTTGCTTGGTTCCTTTGTGGTTTTTTGAATTATGTGTGTTCCCTCAAGAAAACTTATCTCATGCTTACACTCTTTTCCGCTCATTGGTGTTTTGGAATGTTGTTAGGTTAAGCTCATAAAATGCATTATCAGGAACATTGCTATAGATATCTCCTTCAATCAAATGGCAGGACTCTCCGCTTTATGCTTTCTGGAGCAGGTAAACACTAAATAGCTTTGGCTCATGAATTGTTTTTCAATCGTCTAATCCTCAAACAATTTTGGTAAAATCTTTGGTTTGGTTTCTTTGTTAGGTTGACCATAGATTTGGGAGAGACCATCTGTTCAAACGTAGCGTCATTTTGATTAAGGCATGGTGCTATTATGAGAGCCGTATTCTCGGTGCCAACATTGGATTGATTTCAACATATGCATTGGCAATACTAGTCTTGCATATCATCAACATATCTTATTCATCATTGTCTGGCCCTTTAGCGGTGAGCATATTTAAAATTTTAGCTTATTATGGGCATTACTTCTAAGACTAACATACCATATCTATCATCAACAGGTACTGTTTAAGTTTTTGGAATACTACAGAACATTTGATTGGGACAATTACTGTATCACTGTCAATGGTCAGGTTCCAATATCTTCTCTTCCAGATATTACGGGTAAGGATGCTGAAATCACAAGGCACTTCACTTGTTGCTTCTCTTCCAGTTTTTGGATTACTATGGATCATTTGAAAACTTCACTTGTTGCTTTCTCCTGCTATTTCTTCAGAAACCGGGCAACAAGAAGTTTTCCTGAACGAGACGTTCTTAAGAGAATGCATGGAGTTATATTCGGTTCCAACCAAAACTGTGGAAGCAAATGGCCAACATTTTCCTGTAAAACATCTCAACATAGTGGATCCTCTGAAACATAGTAACAACCTGGGACGTAGTGTGACCCAAGGTACTCCATTGAAAGTAGAAGCTCATGAATTTGTTTCTCAAGTGAAAAGTATTCTTATCTTTTGTGTAATCTTGTCAGGCAATTTGCAACGTATAAAACGTGCTTTTACATTAGGAGCTCGAAAGCTGAGAGATGTGCTTACAGTACCTGGAGAAACCATGGGGTGGAAACTGGAGAAGTTCTTGGGTAATTCATTGGAGAGGAACGGTAAGGGACAAAGACATGATGTGGACGAACCTGTCATCGCTTTTGGCACTGGGAGATCAGAATTATCTGAACTCAGAGGAAATTTTGAAGGATACTTCAATAATCTTGTATACGGGAGATGGTTTCACGGTGAGCCTCCGCAAAACTGGATCCCTCAGGGTCAAGACACAAGTTCTTGGGACGTTGTGCGTTGGTTTGTGGCCGGCCAAAAGAATGTTTACCATTGGAGGAATCTGAATGGACCAACTTCGTTGCAGAACATGCGGAAATCAAGAGGAACAGGCACTTATATTCCTGAAATGGTAGATTCACCTTTTCACTCTTTCACTCTTACTTGGATTTTTAAAAGATATTGGTTTCTGAATTTGGTATTGATCCATTGTTTTTTTTTTTTTCTTGCAGAGTCAACAATCTTACGCTAACAGGTTCAGTAGCAGACCAAGCCCAAGGAACTCATTACCTTCAGCTTCTCAGACTCAACAGTCCAAACGGAACCCTTGAATTGGTCTCTTAGGCTTTAAAAAAATCTGCATAATAACTTAGGTTTATCCTCAAATATTTATTTCCCAACAGAAAACAATGACAAGAGTTTTTTTTTTGTGGTGGTAAATTGAAAGTTCCATAGGTTGAAGTAGATGATTCTTTTCAGGATTCATTAGGGTTGTAATTGACTTATCTGATACCTATGATTCATTCAGAGATCTCTGTTAATTAAATATTTTGACACCATTTTTTTTCTAATATACAACCGGGGAATCTGCGTTGAAATCTAGATAAATTCTGTGACTGTGAGGCTTGTGAAATACCGGATATTCTTGTAATTTAAAACGTGAACAATGGTCAGTCATGATTGAAATTGGAGTGGAAATGTTGGAATCTTATTTCGCCATGAATTGGTTCAGAACTTAGAAGATAAGATGGATTAATGTTATAGACTAGTAATTACAATGGATCTGCGTACCTCTTCACATTGTAACCTTGGTCATTTAGAGTAAAAAAAAAAAAACCAAAAAAAGACAAAAAAACATGAGACAATATATCTAAATGGCAAGATTATTACATTGCCATGACGCAGACGCTGTCTCAAGTTTGATCTGATAGAGAGGTTGTTTTCACTTATCAGTGGAGTTAAGGCCCCACCGGAGATCTTTTATGACTCTTATCCATTTTTTTCATTGCTGTGTTTCTATGTATGATGACGGTATACTTCCAAAGCATTACGTCATCTCTGTCCATCCACATCTTGATTTTAAAAATCATGTCCATATGATCTCCTGTATTAAAGAGCCAGCGATCCTATAGGCAAGATCTGCCGATAAATTCTATAGGCTCTACAGCAATTACTAGGCTGATTAAAGGTTGATTATCAAAGAGATCTTAGCAAGATCACGATAGTTTGGGTTATTGTGGCCCTTCTTCTTCTTCTTTTTTTTTTAAAGTCAAGTGCATACGCCATAAGATAGGTAATAATGTAGTGTTATTATGTAGATGGTGACACATCATTTAATCTTACTTGTAAGAAATTATTTCTTTCACATTGAGATCGGATCCCAATGATACATACGTGTCTATCCTCGACAACCAGTAACATTTTTACTAACTTGTATTGCATTTCTAAGCGAGACATGATCATTAAAAGTTTAGCAAACGCAATTATTTACTTCTTCTGTGCTGGAATGTTATGTCGTCAGATTATTTCTAATCATATACAAAACATAGTATAATAATATTAATTATACACTTGGAGGTTCCAGTCCCATGCATGAAAGATGAAAGAAAGGAAGAGAACAATTTTATACGAAGTTTTCCGCTATTCGAGCAACCTCTTCAGTCTGCATTGACCAATAATGACACGTCTCCGATGTTTACGCTGCTCTTAATTTGTTAATTGAAGATAGATATATTAAAATTAAAAATTCGGGCAAATCAGTTCCTCTCATTACGCTTAAACTCTTCAATAAATTAGTTTTCCATGGTTATTAGGAAAATTAACAGACAAATGTCTCAAATAAACTTTGTGGTCAATGCATCTTTTGAAAAGCTTATAATTATATTTTGATTTAAACTATATATTGTCTTATCAATTTTCCAACAAATGTACGACTTGTCATAGAACAAAGCATGCAATGATGGATCATTACGATTAAAAAGAAGATAACATAAATAAACCAAAGAAATGAAAAAAGTAATGATCAAAAGAAAAAAAGCAAGAAATGGCCATGTTATAAAATCCATCATGACCATTGTTTGCCAATTTCAACAAAGTTGGCCCTCCAAATTTAATAATTCAATGCTTATTTCTTTCTTGTATAGTTATATATATTCATGATATTACAACCACACCAGAATCTCTTCTTGGACCTTAAAGACAACAAGAAGACAAAAAAAACACAAATATACGAAATCTCTTATTTCACCATTTCATTTGATTCTTGAAGATCTCTACTGGAAATGGATGCAAGGAAGATTAAACTTCACGTTTTATTACTGTCGTTCTTACTCATCTCCGAAGTTCCTTTCATTGTTGGGTTGAGTATGAGAGACTCTACTAGATTGGAGCCGGAAGCATCTCACGGCGGAGACTATCCGTCAATGAAGAGCAGGAAGTTGATGGTTACAAACTTGGAAGTTGATTATTCAGGTGATTATTATGATGATAAAGCACCACCATCACCACCAGTACCTGATTATGATGATATCTATAGAAGGCAAGGTGATGTCCCAAGCCCCGGTATTGGCCATTGATACATATCATGTGTATACACACACACAAATACACATTTTGCGTTATATATTTATACATATACATGTTGTTTATATATGTTTTTTCTAAAATGTCGTCTCCGTATATGATCATTTTTATGTTGCTTTTTCTTCATTTTTGATATTTTCATTTTTTTTTGCTCGTCTTTTTTATTTTATTTTATTTTTTTAAAATGGTGCCCTCACCTATTGAATTGTCTCACTTCTTCGTGTCGTTAGGAGCTTCTTGTATGTATGTAATAATACATTACATAATACATATGGTAAACATGCATTATTTCTGTTGTAAAAATGTTTTCCGATATTAAAAGGGATATATATATATATTATAATAAAAATAGTTTCTTTCACCGCACCTCTCTGAATTTTTATTTTATTTTATTATTAAAGTGCGATTAATTAATATAGATAACTACGTCGTACAACCTTCAAAGAGATCCAATTTTACATTGAACAATTGTTGAACCAAAAAATACTATCGAGAATAAAAAAGGAACCAGACACAAAAAACATACCGTCAGTTGGTATAACAAAAAGAACAGTGTGTCAGTTATACGGTCTTGAGTCTTGAACCATTCGCCAAGACAAGTCGTATTTACAAATTATAATAACAACGACAATTATATATACAGATTTACATCCATTAACAAAAATCAAAACATTAAAAAACAATATGAAATCTTTCACATGGGAAAGTGAGAGCGTGTGTCATACATTATACAATGTTCCCTTAAAATAAGATAGATTACAATCAAACAACAAAAAATTAATATAGAGATATTTTCCTGAAATTGAATGAATTTATTTCTGAATACTCCCACCGATTCCCAAGAAAAATAGAAAAATATGTGCAAGGACCAGATGAATAGGGAGGGTCTGAGTAAAGAGACACTAAAAAAAAATTAAAACAAATTATTAGCAATTTCAGTTAAATTAATATTATGACCTTAAGCTTAATACTTCGAAAATTAATCGGAATTTAACTGTCACCACTTTGTATCTTTTATAGAAGGGGGTTACTTGAATCCACATAGTGATTAGGTAATGTAGATGTATAAGCTAATGTCAAAAGAGATATTTCGGTTGATTTGGTTATATGATTGTTACTAATGACCGCGCTAAACCTGAGTCCAACATCACCACTGTCCACTGTGCATTTTTCTCAACTAATTTTGATAATTTAAATATATATTATGATCCCCGTAAAAAAAAATGGTATGGCTGCGTCGACGTGTATATCAACAGTATAAGTCGTGTACAGAAAAAAATAAAAAACCAGAAAAGTCCTAATTTGGGTTATGCATAGACCAAACTAAAAATCACGTCATTCCCAAAACACGTACGAAGCTTAAATTCATATAAAATACATTTGCTATTTTGCTTTGAAAAATCAATGTTATGCATCGTATATTCGCATGCATATAATAATAATACATTATATGCTTTTGGTGGAATGTCTCTTTATGCATGCATTGAATCCACCGACTAGAAGTTTTGAATTATATAATAATAGAAATATTGTTGTGAAGAGCAAGCTGATCAATACCATTATGAAATAGGAATTGGATTCGGATCTAGTTTTGTAATTGTTCGATTACAATAATGGCAAAGTGAGAAAGTGGGCAAGAAAGATAAAACTCTCGCTTTTCATTTTTAAGTAGCAGGAATATAAAGGCTCAACTTCAGCAACACCTAATAAAAGTTAGAGAAAGAAACATATAAAAGGATTGAAAGAGAAAGAAGCATAAAAAGTTATTAAAAACAAGCGAATAGAAAAGGAGCACCAATCAAAGACACTATAAATTCGAGTACTCCAAAAATAATTGTTCTTTCGTTATACATAAAAATGCCATGTTTGTATAGTGGATTTATAATTCCTATGCTAACAACTCTTTTACGCCAAAAAAAAACGAACAATTCATTTTGACACTCTTAAACAATATTTCGTTCTTGAAGTGGTGTTTAATCAATGAATGAATGGAGCTAGTAGTAATTTTATTATAGATAATGTTCAAGATTGATGGCAAAAAAAAAGATAATGTTCAAGATTTTTTTTTGGGGTTTTCGTGAGCTATATATAGATTTGGGATATAGTTGTTCTTTAGATAGATTTAAATTTGTTGATTTTCGAAGAACTAGCGGGAGAACAGTTCGACTTTGAGAAAAATGAAAATATGACTAATCACTTCGAAAGCCGTAAGGTTAGTAAATAAACTATAATCAGAAAAGAAGAGCCTTCGAGTGATTGTGGACACAAGTCAAACACAACAAGCGAACCACCTTACCCTACAAGACTACAACAAATAATAACATGTACTTGTAAGATTGTGTGAAGTCCGTTCATTAAAGCATATAACTCGAAGTGTACAAAAATACATATATGTACATTTCAAATAATTATCAATTTGATAACAATTCGTGAAAAGATTTGCGATGTAAGAAAGTCTAAAAGTGATATGCAACCTATAATAAAAAAGATAGTGCCATTAAACCATTTTTAGGAATTGTAGATAAATTATTTTATTAAATATGTAGATGCATTCTCTATAATTAGTAGTCATATTTTGCTTTAAACATTTACAGTTATTATAATTTACCGGTAACTTTCTTACCACTATATAGAAACATTTACTTATTTTTTTTATTTGTTGTTTTTTTCCTAATTACGAATAACGCGTTTTTGATGCTGCTTTCCCTTTGTTATTTTTATTCCGTCAACACAAGCTTAAAAGCTCCTTTCTTCTACTATCTGTTAATTGAAAGACTGAAACCTGTGAGGCTGTGAACAAACCGTTTCGATTATTACTGTTGCAACAAAAATAAAAAATAAAAAAAGTAGAGGGAGAGAAAAGAGAGAGTGGGGTTGGCGATGACCAAATTCGGAGGCTGATGGTACAAAGCTGCATCAATGGCGGAAATTCTGTTGTTGGTAAGCAGAGAAAAAAAAAAAAGCTTTCTTTTTCCTTAGATGTAACTGTCTCGGAGGCACTCACGTGTTTCTGTCTCTTCACCTGTAAAAATATTCTCGCCACGTTTGCTCTTTCACGCCCTTTTCTTTTCCCCGAGAAAACGCGAGAAAACAAAAAAAAAAGCTTATTTTTTTCCTTACAGGCTTATAGCATGTGGAGGCTATTGGTTCTTATCTTCTCCATTTCTTTGTCCTCAATGTCTTTATTTCAATGATAAGCACATTAAATCTCCTTTTCTTTTATACACATCGATTTCACGTCACCCAGAAAAATTGTGAAATTTATTAAAAATATCTGTAAGTGGAAAGTAGAAACAATTACAGATGGCATTTGTGAATTGTGAGACAGAATATGGGCAAAAAAGCTAATAATTGATTTACTCCATTTATGGCTTAAAGCTACACTTGTGAAGTCAATTTTGCTTTCTGGGTTTCTCTGTTTGAATCTTATCCTACAATAAATGGTGGTTTCTGCTTGTTCAATTTCAGGGATTTAGGGGTTTTTGCTGTTCATACACTTCTGGGTTTATCTGCATTCGGGTAAGGATTGACGAAAGAGAATCAATCAGATATGAGAATGGCATGTGCCTGACTGTGACCTACTTTGTTTTCTTCCCTCTAATTTGGGAACAAAGTTGGGTTGTCGTATTTATTGTTACTTTGTAGGTTTCACTGTATTAGACAAGACTCTTCACTTTTCTGCCAAATTACCCGACTTTTTGAGATTCAGAAATCATCTTCCTTTTTCGTTTCCAGGTTCTTCTTATAGCGTGTTAGGCTGAAGATTAGAGTAAACCATGGATCTCAATTTCGGAAGATGCTGTGGCTCTAGAAAGGTCTGTTGTTTTTTCTAAAAAAAATCCCTTAGATTTGTTCAATTTCGGAATCTCTGAAGTTTTCTGAATTATGCAGAAGGAATCATGGAGGTCGGTTTTGCTTCTTGCTTATCAAAGTCTTGGTGTTGTCTATGGAGACTTGAGCATCTCTCCGCTTTACGTCTTTAAGAGCACTTTTGCTGAAGACATTCAACATTCAGAAACCAACGAAGAGATCTACGGTGTTATGTCTTTCGTTTTCTGGACTCTTACTCTGCTCCCTTTACTCAAGTATGTCTTCATTGTCCTCCGTGCTGATGACAACGGAGAAGGTCCGTGACAGAGACTCTTTCTCACACCAGATAATCATCGGAAAAAAACGAAAATTTATTATGTGTTCATTGCTTATCTAGTTCATGTTGTTGTTTTTGTCTCAGGTGGAACTTTTGCTTTGTACTCACTGATCTGCCGTCATGTCAAAGTTAGCCTCCTTCCAAACCGACAAGTCGCTGACGAGGCACTGTCCACTTATAAACTGGAGCATCCCCCGGAGAAGAACCATGACTCATGTGTGAAAAGATATCTGGAGAAGCACAAGTGGTTACACACTGCTTTGCTGCTTCTGGTTCTTCTTGGGACTTGTATGGTTATTGGAGATGGACTTCTTACTCCAGCTATCTCCGGTATGTTTGCTTCTGTCTGTGTAGATATCTTAATGTCTAATTCTTGGCTATAGGAGCTTTTTAATCTTTTCTTTTTGTTGTATGTAGTTTTCTCTGCTGTGTCAGGTCTTGAGCTGAATATGTCTAAAGAACATCACCAATGTAAGTACACAAAGTTGGTTTAATGTCAGTTTTTGCTCCTTGAGCTCTGATGGATGATATACGGCTTTGTTGATCAAAATCGCAGATGCTGTGATTCCTATTACCTGCTTCATATTAGTCTGCCTTTTTGCGCTTCAGCATTTTGGGACACATCGTGTTGGTTTTGTTTTCGCGCCTATCGTCCTCACTTGGCTGCTTTGTATAAGCGCTATTGGCTTGTACAATATAATACAGTGGAATCCTCATGTATACAAAGCTCTTTCTCCTAAATACATGTTCATGTTCTTGAGAAAGACGAGAGTAAGTGGATGGATGTCTCTTGGCGGGATCTTGTTGTGTATAACTGGTGAGTTATCAAAACCCTGTTTCTGTTTGTCTCCTCATATTATTAATGTTGCCGTTGTATCAAAATGTCGGTAATCTAATTCATCGAGTCTTTGTTTTAGGTGCTGAGGCCATGTTTGCTGATCTTGGTCACTTCAATTACGCGGCAATTCAGGTACTTAAGCTTGGATGCTTTACTTGTTGTTACATGGCCTTTACTTACAGTAATTCTATCTTCTGTTTGTTGTAGATTGCCTTTACGTTCCTGGTTTATCCGGCTCTTATATTGGCATACATGGGACAAGCTGCTTACCTATCTCGGCATCACCATTCTGCTCACGCGATTGGGTTCTACG